TTGTTGATCCCCCAAAGCAGCCGCTGGAACAGCTTGCTACTGATGACGTTATCTTAGCTAAAGGGTCTGAACACTTGGGTGTAGGTATAGGGGGAATAAGGTCGCATCATGTCATCCGCGATGCGTACTCTGGTGCGCGTGTTGCATACCCATTGTCTAAACGTACTGCTGACGCGCATGCTCGCAACTTTAGGCATTTCTTAGGATTGCGTGGATCAGAGCTCACCACCCGAACGTTCATCAAAATGGACGAAGCAGGCGAGCTTGAACAGGCGGCACATGCCGTAGGCATGGTTCCAGAAACCTCATTGCCGAACAGATGGCCCCACAACGCCATCCTCGAGAGAGATGTTCGAGAGGAAAAGGAATGTTGTCGCACTATTCACCTCCAATCTGGTCTTCCCTATGAGTATCACACATATAGCTATCCATATGCTTGCCTTTCAATGTCATTCGACAAGCCTTCAATAGCTGACCCCGACAAAACCCAATGGGAGTCGCTTACTAGGAATAAGTTTGATGGCATGAGGTTATGTTTTGGTCAGTTAGTGTATTACCGTAGGAAGTCACCCACCAAAAGGACTTTGGAGCCCAACATGTCACCTGGTCTATTTTTGGGTTGGAGGATTGATCCCGGTTTCCGATATAGAAATATCTTAAGGGTGTTAGATTACCAAGAGTATCGCACTAGAGGTGGGAATTCAGCCGTTGATGTTCCAGAAGCAGAAATCTTTGTCCCTGAAGGTGATCCTGTTTTTCCAGTAGGTTTTTCACGCCACCAAGCTCTCATCAGGGGGGATAACCCAGATGATCTTAAGTTGCCTGAATATGCCTTAAAGGATGTGCCCTTCCCCAAGGAGGGCGGAATAGCCTCACCCTCTACACCAGGTCTCAAAAGTCGTTCTGTTTATATAACCGTAGACCGTATCCTTAAGTGGAAAGAGACCCCTGGTTGCAAAGGCTGCGCTGGCCATTCACGTGCGCACACTGATGAGTGTAGAGCCCGCTTCTCAATGTTGGTTGAAAAAGAAAAAGAAGCTGAAAAAGAAAAGAAAGCTCCACCACCCGAAAGTGAAACTGAAGCAGAAGACAAGGATGATGAAGCCCATGGCATCATCTTCCAGGGTGAGGACCCGCCTGGCCTTTCCGTAGAAGACATACCATCACACCTTTCCGCTGAAGACAAAGCAATGGTTGAGGAAATCTTCGTAAGAGGTGAGCTACCAGGGTCATCCGAACCCAGCGCTCCAGCCGAGCCTGCTGTTTCTGTTTCTGGTGTAGCTATTCTCCCTCAAGTTGCCAATCGATGTTCCGACCTATGTCAAAAGTCGCTGCCTGTTTTTGGTTGCCCCGCTGTAGGTAAGCCAAATAACCGCGATAATCGTAGGAGCCGGAAAGCTGCCAAGAAAGCTTCCAGACCCAATGCCAAGTCAACCATGTTTGAATTTGCTTGTTCTGAGGACTCCCAGATGGGTTTTACTCACCAAGAATATGGCATTAATCATGTTAGACTTTGTAAGGATAGGATAGACCTGGGAGATGAATCACAATGTGAGCAACTAGACTATCAGATAGATGAAGCCGCTAAGGTTGCACCTCCACATATGTGGGCCTCTATCCCTTGCACATCCGGATCTCCTTGGCAGTACATCAATAGGAAGAGGGGTGGTGCCGCATTCATTAGGAAGCTTGCCCACCAGGTCAAAGAGTCCAAACGGTTGTTTAAGAGTTTTTCTAAACGCGCTGAAAGGGTTCTCAATCATGGTGGTACTGTAACGTTTGAATGGCCAAGACCTTGCTCTGGCTGGAAAAGGCCTGACGTTGTAGCATTCTTTGAGAAACATCCCCAGTTTATGACCGTTGATTTTGAAGGGTGTACCGTAGGTTTAACCGACAGAAATGGTTATCCCATCAAAAAGCCATGGAAACTCAAGACCACTTCTCCCCGAATTGTAGAGGCGTTTCAAGATATGCGGTGCCGATGCCAGCAACCTCATTCCAGATGTGAGGGAGCTGAGACCACTCGCTCCGCAATGTATCCGCCCCAAATGACTAATTTAATTGCGCAAGCTTTGTATCCCTCAAAATGTGCCCAGCAGTCCGTCCCTGCTATGCCTTGCCAACCGGCAACTAGCGAGCCTCAACCCCATAGGGAAATTGAGCAGCACCTTAAGCACATATCCCCATTAGCTGGTTTTGAAGATTTAGCCCTAGCTGTTGAATCAGACCCCACCGCTAATAGGTTGGTTACAGAACTTCTTGACCATGAACAATTGATCGCCCAAGCCTTCCACCTGGAAGACCCTAAGGCGCCAACGCCTGAGATCAAAGCAATGGTCACTAAGCTCTTATCCCGTGCAGAGATGCTGTCCAATCCCAAGGCCCTTGAGGCAATTCGTGCCGAAGCCGACGGTTTGGTTAAGGCTGGTACTTGGGATCTTGGTTCGGTCCGCGAGAAGGAAGATGTACGCAAAGAAGCTAAGGCTTCAGGTGTGTCAGTACACTTTGGTCAGCTCATGACCATCGCGTCCATTAAATTCTACGAGCTTGCAGACCACCTTCACAAAATGAAGGGGCGCATTGTGTACAGAGGAGACTGCGCAAAGGACGAACATGGTGCAGCCGCGGTTTACCAAGAACTCGGCGCAAACCCCACCTCCGTCCAAGGGCTAAACGCCTGCCTGGCGTATGGGTCGCTGCCGGGTAACCGCGCGACGGCTGCAGATGCAGTCAAAGCTTACGTCCAAGCACTGTTATCTTCCAAATACAAAACCTGGATTGAGCTTCCCCCGGAGCTCCGCCCTAAGTATTGGAAACAACAGTTTGTTAAGCCCGTAGTCCTCTTAATTAAAGCCTTATACGGTCATCCTGATGCCGGAGGCCTGTGGGAACAACACCTGAAAATCATCATCAAGAACCTTGGTGGACAGGAAGTTCTAGAATACCCAGGAAACTTTTACTTCCCAGATACAAAGTTACTTCTGTCAACTTATGTAGACGATTTAACTCTAGCTGGTCCCGCCGACCAGCATGATGCATTCTGGAGTAAGTTAACTTCTGTGGTAGACATTGAACCCCCAGAGCCCATCTATAGGATTCTTGGACGCAACCATGTTGTTACCCCACTATCCAAGACCGAAGGTCATGAAAAATGTGCAGCCTTCCAAGCCCAAGATGGTATGGTTTTTGGTATGGCAGACTACGCTCAGCAGACCGTAGATTTGTATAAATCAATAACTGGTGTCACCAAACTTAAGCATGCAGCCACGCCATTTCCACCTGAGGGATCCATCACCATTGAAGATGATGAAACTAAAGGGGAACTAGCTCCAAATGCATGTAAGATTTTGATGAAAGCCCTTTGGTTAGGTAGACTTGCACGTCCCGATATCATCAAGCCTATCAATGATCTGGCCACAAAGGTCCAGTCGTGGTCCAGGGGGGATGATAAGAAGGTCCTAAGATTAATCCAGTATATAGCCTCAACACCACACTACAGGTTAGTAGGTACCATTCAGGACAAGCCTGAAGACCTAGAGCTCAGACTGTTCGTCGATGCCGACTTTGCCGGCGACAGATCAACTGCACGCTCAACCTCCGGTGGCTTCTTGGTTTTAACTGGCCCTAGTTCCTTCTTCCCACTTGCATGGATTAGCAAGCGCCAAACATCCACTTCTAGATCGACCACGGAAAGCGAGGTTGTTAGTTTAGCCCACTCGCTTTATCAAGAAGGCTTGCCTGCCTTACAGTTATGGGAGCTGTTGCTTGCACGCTCCGTAACCCTTAAGGTCCACGAAGATAACCAAGCAACAATCCTAGTTGTGAAGAAAGGATATAGTCCCAAGCTTCGCCATATAACTAGAACGCACAAAGTAAACCTGTCTTGCCTGTCTGAAGTCTTCCGAGATGACTCTGCTGAAATAGAGTACACCCACACGGATGATCAGGCGGCAGACATATTCACCAAGGCATTGCCTCCACACAAATGGGCAGCAGCACTAATCCTTTCAGGAATCCGTACTGACCTTCCCTTAGACCTCAAATCCAAAGCCTAGGTCGCTGTGAACGTCCGTTCACGCGACAGTAGTCGCTTAGGATACTGCCAATGCGCAGTGCGTGTGGAACAGGCGAGGGGGGAGTTGAAATATACCGACCCCTGAGCCCCACTATGTATAGCATAGGTAGTAGGTCATGTGTAGAGCACTGCCGTAGCTATGAGAACCAATAGTCCGAAGTAGTACACCTCAATGTATGTACAGTTAATACCCTTTATCTAGAAGCGTTAGGTAAGGGTAGTAGTCGTAGGTTAGAGCATGATGCCCAGTAATTAATACCCTAACAACTACCAGGGTTTAATCGGTCATGCATGCGACGCCTACATGGCTCAAGTGCACAAAATAGTGTGTGCTTGCATGTCTTGTTTGCAGGGTTTGCCGGATTGGTTGTTCCCCTATTTTTGGGTGCCCGGTTCGACCCCCTGTTTGTCTATATATCATATATATATATATATCATATCATATATATATATCATATATATATATATATGTATATATATATATAGAGATAAAGATAGAAGTTGGCAACGTCCAACTAGCATTGCAGCAGAAAATAGTGATCGATTGAACCTGTTCTGCATCTGGGGGTTACCAGCAGAAGATGATCCAACTCAAGTTCCTAAGGGAAATCGGCCAGCTACTTACTTCATGTGTAGACACATTGTATATGCATATTTTGCGGCGCATATAAAAAACACACTATATATACATATATGTATACATATATGCATATACTCATGTCTATATGCATATATATATATTATACATATGTATTTACCCTCTGGTAAACTAACATAACTATGGAAAATCGCCATTTTCAATGGGAAATTCCACTATTTCTATGGTCATTTTCAATAGCTATTTTGACGTAACCAGAGGGTATGTAGTTGTGATCTCTCAACAGAATATGGCGTAACTCTCTTGTAGACATCGGCGCGCGGTCAGGCCATGGTCATCTATTTGTGGATCATGGCGGTGGGCTACCTGACCTTTGGCACTGCGGCAGAAGGGCTGATTCTCAACAACTATTCCGAGAAGGCGCCGCAGGGCCGCAGGGGTTGAAAGGGTAAGATGTGGTGCCCAAATCGTGAGCTCAATTGGGAAGGTTGGGTTTATGGTTGAAAGAACTAATATGAACTAATGGAAATGTTGGGTTTATGGTTGATACATCGAACTAGGTATATGGGCTTCATAAACCAACAAACATAGTTGCGGGGAATGACATTGTTGGATCACTGGCCTTTGATGACTTTGATGGTGAGCGGCTTGTGGTCAACTGGCCCTCGATGAAGATACGATTAGCATGTACTAATGACAATGATCGTATACACACATATTCATTATATATATATATGTATATGTATATGTATATGTGTATGTGTATGTGTATGTATATGTATATGTATATGTATATGTGTATGTCTATGTATGTGTATATGTATATGTATATGTGTATGTCTATGTATGTGTATATGTATATGTATATGTATATGTCTATGTATATGTCTATGTCTATGTCTATGTATATGTATATAGTAACCCCAAGACAGAACAGGTTCAATTCGCCACCCTTTAAACATGTCGCGACTGTAGCACTCCTCGCAGCGCCGCGACTCGCTCGCCGCGACGCCAGGATATGCTGATGACCACGGCGCGATTTGCCATCAGCTTTGACGCTTGGTACTGAAAATGGTGGGTTTTAAGCACTTTATGGAATAAGTATGTTCGGGAATACCCACCATAATTAGCCATATTTCCCAGAGTTCATCAATCAATGGCCATTTTAGGAACCTAAATTGGAAGTACCTACCATATATAAGGCCTATTCTCGAGGCCTATTTTTTAGGGAATATCCCCGCAAAATATGGCCTTATAAGGTACAGTACCTCCATTTTAGGATCCTGAAATTCCCATTGACATTATGGAATAAACATTTTCTGACTTATCTGAGATGAACTCTGGGAAGTATGTTCGAAAACTCTTTAAGCCAGTCTATGGCGGTAGAACATCGCCAACAATAATGATGGAGGTGTTTATGGGTAAATGGGGATGTATTGGAGATATACGTATATTCAGTATTCAGTATTCATTATGTATGTATATATATATATATTGAATATAATATACTTGTATACTGGTAGGATTTCTGGGAAGAGGATCCATTTTTGTTTGTGAAAATGATGATAAACCCATTTGAATCATTACAGTATAACAACTATGATTTTAATGGAGATTGGGATTGAACTGGTTATTGGTACGATGCGCTGATGATTTTCCCACTAGAAATGGGGTTGATATAATGGGGATAAACCATGGGGAATATAAACCCCATAATATGTCAGTATATCTGGGTGTGTCTTAAAAAAATGGAGGATTTACCCTCCGGTACTGTAATTTGTTACATAGCTATTGAAAATGGCCATAGAAATCGTGGATTGGTGATTTTCCCATGAGTTTTTTGTATGTTTACCAGAGGGTAACCTCAAATTTTATGGTTGATCATGATTTTCCCCATGGTGATTTGCTATGCATTGGTTTAACCAGATGGGGATGTAGGGAAGACATCTCATGGAATATGATTCTTGTGAGGATGATCCCCCCCAAAAACCAGCAAATATATGGGGGTTTCCTAGAATAAGGGTACCCACAGTTATCATCCATTTATAGATGGGATTTTCCATGAAATAAACTTAAATAAACCATCCATTTTTGTGGGTAGCCCCATATATGGAAACCTCCATATGGGGATATCATGAGAATATCCACGGGGAAATATATAATTAGATGGACCCTCTTGGCATCAAACGAACCATACCGGGCAACTCATAGGGTATCCTGAAATATACCCCGCCGGTAGTCAAACATAGCAATTATATATAAAATCAATGGGAATTTCAGGATCCTAAAATGGAGGTACTGTACCATATAAGGGCATATTTTCTAGGGATATTCCCCTACATAGGCCTCAAAAATAGGCCTTATATATGGTAGGTACCTCCATTTTAGGTTCCTAAAATGGCCATTGATAAGATCCCCGAAGTAAATGGAGCTTTGTAGCTGGGAAAATCCTCTTAAAATGGTGGGATTTTACGCTGCCATCTTTGATTACCGGAGGACCATTTTGAAGATATTGTTTTTACCATAGGAAAATGGTGATTCATAGTGGATTTATAGTCGATTTACCAATTGAAAATGATGATTTAATGGGTTTTTACTGGGATACCCTCTGGTTATGACCAACAGTTCGCCATGGTATAGATGGCCCTAATCGAAATAGATGGTTTACCTAGCTATAAAATGGGTGGAAAAATCTCCATGGCAAACTGGCTTTATGTCATAACCAGATGGTATGTGATATGTGGGTATGGCTGAAAATGGGTCAACACCCAATTTATGGACAATACCCTCTGGTAATTTAACATAGCTATTGAAAATGGCTATTTATAGTGGATTTTCCCATTAAAAATGGTGATTTTCCATAGCTATGTTAAATTACCAGAGGGTACTTTTGGAGATGTCGGACCCACCAAATGAACGTGGCTACTAATATAGCTATAAGTCTATCCTCTACATCCTCCGGGAAAATGTGGCACTTAAAAGTCCCCTATGTATAGATGTTGTTTTCCATTAAAACCTTCATTTTTCCATGGATTTTCCCATGATTTTCCCATGTTTTTCCATGTTTTTTTCGGGGATTTCCCATCGTTTTCCAGGATTTTCCCATGATGTTCTCATGGTTTACAGGGGATTTCCCAGCCACGAAAAAACGATGACGCCACCGAGGGAACTGGGGATTTTTTTGGGCCCCCTTTAGCAGATTCACCGTTGAGAAACCGACTGGATAGGTAGTTTAATGGTGGATTCAACAACCTCTATATATGTATATATAGGTATTTACATACTATGATGATTAATGATTAGGATAAATAACCCCTATATATGGATATGATATGTGGTGATATATGGATATATGGATATATATATATATATATATATCTGGGTAAATTTCATCACGACCGAGCCCTGTTCTCCCTCACTATAATCAAAGTTAGTAAGGGAAATGATTCCCAAATGGCCCCAAGATTCAGGTTAGTGAAATATTATAATTTACCCAGATAAAATGTAATAGCAAAACACTAAAGACTAAAACTAGTTAGCGTTTTTGACTATAAATGGAAAATAACCAGCCAAGCAGCGAAAGATTATTGTGGACTAGCAAAGATTGACAACGATTATTCGATATTTTTGAAGTTGAGATTGCCCCATACATTTTATGTTTGTTTGGAATGAGATAAGAACATACTGTTCAGCTGTGCATTGCTATGCAACCATTAGAGGGGTACCCAAGGGCTTTGACCCATCTCCACCGTTAAGGGTGCGGTTTCCATGGATTTTCGCCGTTGGATTTGTCAACCTCCCTGGTATTTCCCCATCGTTGGATACAACATATGGCAAACATACTGTTTCCATACTTGTGCCACATATGTATGTATCATTATGCACTCTAACTGTACATACACGCATATTAACACATATGCAGATACATTTATACAACACATATGATGTATGTATATATGTATATATATATAGGTATACATGTATATGTACATATATGTACATGAACATGGCACATGCATCATGAACCCAACTTAAAATCGTTGGTCAAAATCCAGGCAGTGGTCTTTGCCTTTCCCCTTGGCTTCACGGGTCTCCGGGATTCAATGATGTCCACCTTTGAGCTTGGGCAGGTGGGGATTTTTTGGGACGTGGCTTCTCGGAGGGAACGAAAAAATGCAGCGAAAAATCCAGTGAAAACAGGGTTTTCAACAGGATTTCATGATAAAGGGATTTTTTCCGGGATTTTCGTGAGGAAGAATGGTGATTTGATGAAATTTCGCCGGACTTGATCAGCAAAGATGTGGAGTCAGCCAACAAGAAAGGTTTCTGTTTGTCAAAGCATGATGATATAGTCTTGGAAAGATGCTGTCACAAACCGGCGAAGTTAAACTCATGTCACATCTTTGACTCATGGGAGACGACTACCCTCTGGTAATTTGCTACATAGCTATTGAAAATGACCATAGAAATAGTGGATTTTCCCATTAAAAATGGTGATTTTCAATAGCTATGTAACAAATCATCAGAGGGTAAACACTGTTAAAAAAGGGATTCTCCCATGGTTGGCGGAATATCTCAGTACGGTATTCCTCTGAGATCCCCATCTTGGTCGGAACGCCCGAAACGGGGTTCGCCGGCGGCGCCATAGCTTCGAAATCGAATGCGACCATCGATTTCGACTTCCTTTCCACACTGCCAATCCTATGTATGTATTCATGCTTAGTTATCTGATATCAGTATATATGTATATATGAATGCCATATTCATATATATATATATATATACATGTTTGAACATTTATTCACAGAAAAAATACGGCCAAGATTAGACACCCGCTTGAAGTCCTGGCCCATCCCAGAGGTGCATCCCATCTGGCTGGGGATATTCCCCCTGTGACGTGGACCATTTTGAACATTTTATCTTTTTACCGTAGGAAAATGGTGATTTATAGTGGAACTATAGTCGATTTACCCATTGAGCGTGATGATTTAATGGGTTTTTACTGGGATACCCTGTGGTTATTTAACATAGCCATGGAAAATCACCATTTTTAATAGGCAAACCATCTATTTAAATGGGCCATCTATACCATGGCTATGTTAAATAGCCAGAGGGTATATATTTCATCATACTATTTTCCCGATTTTGGTTCTTGAGATGTCCCTATCTTTGTCTTAGTGATTCATCCCTTAGTACCTTGACATATCCACAATATCCCAAAATTGGCTACCCTTTGGTAAACTAACACTTTGCGAACTGGAAAATCAACATTTCAATAAGTAAATCATCGAACTAAATGGGTCATACCATAGCAAGCTGTTACTTCATTGGAGGCTATCCATCATATATTCCAATGAAATCCCACAGAAAAATCCCATATCATGAAATCCCAAAAATCCCTTTTTGATCATCCCAGCCTGAAGATTACCCTCTGGTAAACATACAAAAAGCTATTGAACATGGCCATTGAGTTATAGTGGATTTTCCCATGACAAATGGTGATTTTTCCATAGTTTTTGGTATGTTTACCAGAGGGTATCTCCCATAAATCACCATATTTCCCGTATGTTTCCAATCAATCACCATATTTTCCCATCAGTTTTTGGTATGTTTACCTGAAGATTATCCCCAGAAAGTGCAAGTGCCGCCATCCAGGAGCACTTTCGCTCGGTGACCTTTGGACTGCTCAGCGTCATCATCTGCGGGGCCTGCAGCTTCCACGACTTGGGCCTGGCCGCCTGACGGCACATTACCGTCGTCTCCATCTCGGTCATGTGGGGAATGAGGCCTGTAAAAAAACCTAATCATATATATATAGATATAGATATGTAGATATACATGTAGATATATATATATAGATATGTAGATATACATGTATATATATAGATATGTAGATATACACGTAGATATATATATATATAGATAGATATGTAGATATACATGTAGATATATATATATATAGATATGTAGATATACATGTACATATATATATAGATATGTAGATATACATGTACATATACATGTATATATATACATATATATATACATATATATATGATATAATTGTGTATGTATAATACGTACCAATTATAGCTCTTGCCCACTGCGATTTTTTTGGCAAAAACATCCAGTGGTGGATCTCTAAATCCATCAGGTCTTGAACATCCCAATTACACCAGACATGGGTCTTTAACTAAGAAACATTGCATGGTGGATATTTAGTTTATATATATATACATACACATATGCGTACAGTTATACAATTATTCTATATGGGTGTAATATATATATACCTAGATACAAGTTAGTACAAAAAACGATCTACTCGAACAGATAAGATAAAGAAAAACATCACACATAAATAAATAAATAAATAAATATATATATACATGCATATCCATATCGCTCTCTCCCTCTCTATAATATTTATATACATACATGTATGGGTCTACTTTGGATCAACATTTGTGTGAACTTGATCATCTCAAATGGATGGGAAGCTGTTTTTTGTATGCTCGGGCAATTTTTTCAGCTGCGAAGCGACAAGAATGATCCCAGTCATAGGGGTATACCGGTATACCGGTATACCCAAACATAAACACCAATTGGAGATGTTTTACCCTCTGGTAAACTAACATAACTATGGAAAATCGCAATTTTTAATGGATAAATCAACTATTTCTATGGCCATTTTCAATAGTTTTTTGTATGTTTACCAGAGGGTATTTGTTGGGTTTACCACATTTTTTTCAGGTTTCTCCAAAAATGGGTCAATGGTTTGGATCATCCTTTTCCGAAAGTTGCCCGAAAAGGCAGAACAAAGACTTTTTTTGGGGGGCACATTTCCGTTTAGGATTCAGACGAGCTTGGGGCTTTGAGAAAAGCCATTTCTTTTCATTGTTTGGTTGATTCAAATGATACTTACTGTAAATGATATACTAAAACTGAATAGATCTGAATAAAATTGTAAATAGAGGGGTCCCCCCTCCATTATAACAACGAATAGGTAAATTACACCCAACTGAGATACCAAACTGGCCCCTCCATTTTTATGCAAGAGACAGTATAAGCAGAACTATATGCAACTTTATATCATATGGGTATGGTACCGTTTTGGACCCACAGGTACTGTCTTGGACCCACATGATATTGGTAGTTTTCAGGATTATACAAACAATAATCTTGTTCCATACCCCTGATAACAGGGTCCCTCCAAATTTGTTGGTTTATAAATGTCTATAACATCATTTCCCAGTTAGGTTCACGAAGTTGTATGTATATACTGGTTGATGGTTTCAAACATTTTTTATTTTCCATAATATATGGGATAATCCTTCCCATTGACTAATATTTTTCAAGATGGTTGAAACCACCAACCAGCATATATCTGGGATATAGCCAGTTTTTCCTTTCGTAAGATACGGAGAAAACATGAATCACTGACGCTACCTGGGTCCGGTAGATCCAAGTAATCCAAAGACCTGGGGGCACAGTTCCACGGAGTGAAAAACGGCAAGAATTATAGAGGTTATTGGGGAGATTATATGATGGTGAATGATGGTTAATGATGGTGAATGATATATTGATCAATGGCCATTTCAGGAACCGGAAAAAATGGAGGTCCCTACCATATATTTTTGGCCTATTCTTGACGCCTAAATTTCAGGGAATATCCCCTCAACCTATGGCCTTATATGGTACTAACGTACCTCCAATTTAGGATCCTGAAGATCTCCCATTGAATAGAGGTTATTGGGGTGATTTCACCATGATTCTTCATGCAACCCCCAAGTGCGAAGTCGTTGGAAACTCGCATAAAGAGTTGTAAAGAGTTATTCTAGTTGTAACTGTATACCCGAAGTCAACTGTGGTGGTGTATGTTGGTATGTGGTATGTTGGTATGTTGGTATGTATGTTGGTATGTATGTTGGTATGTATGTTGGTATGTATGTTGGTATGTATGTTGGTATGTATGTTGGTATGTATGTTGGTGTGTATGTATGTAGGTATGTATGTATGTATGTAGGTATGTATGTATGTATGTATGCATCCATGCATGCATGCATGCATGCATGTATGTATGTATGTATGTACGTGAGTACGTAGGTACGTAGGTATTTAGGTATTTAGGTATGTAGGTATGTATGTATGTAGGTAGGTAGATAGGTATGTATGTCTGTGTGTGTATGTATGTATGTATGTAATGTAATGTAATGGAATGGAATGGAATGGAATGGAATGGAATGGAATGGCATTGAATGGATGCATGCATGCATGCCTTCATGCATGTATGTATGTATATATGGTCCCGTGTCCCGCGTTCCCGAGAGCGTGAGCTTGGGGGACCATACCATTGGGGTGGGGCCAGGGATCCGGAGTCCGGACTCATATATACACACATAAAGACGGTTTGTTTTAATACAGCGATGAATTTCGAACTGGTACATAACATGTAGAATATATAACCCATGTATATGTACATCTATCTCTTCTTTGGTCATTTTTTAGCCATTCATGGCTCAGGCAAACAGTCTGGGAGGTGCAGTCCTGGGTGCCTCGACCAGCGAGAAGAAACCAGGGGGACATCAGACGCATATGTATGTATACATTATAGTTGATTTACCCGTTAAAAATGGTGATTTTCCATAGTTATGTCAGTTTACCAGAGGGTATGGGTATAGTGGGGATATGATTTGATGATCTGGGATGATCTGGGTAATAAATGTGGGAAAATGGAGGTTTCCACAAATGGGGGATCCCCAAAATGGTTGGTTTGTCATGGAAAAAGCCAGTAAAATGGATGATTTAGGGGTACCCTTATTTTAGGAAACCTCCATATTGATGTGTATGTATCTGTATATGTATATGTATTTCTATCATCTATATCTCTATCTATATCTGTGTACACTGATATATATATATATTTATACACATATATACATATATTCACATAAACATATATATATATATATGTGCACATACATACCCTTATATTTACATATAAGCATATACATGCATATATATATATACACATACATGTTTACATATATATATATATATATATATACGCAGTACCACACCCCCACCACACCACAGGGGGGGCGGGGAACATAGCTCCTGTATATCCATACCCATTCCTACTACTAACTACTACTCACTACTACTAACTACTACCAACCCCCCCACCCCCCTACCCACCCACAGGGGGTGCGGGGAACATAGCTCCTGTATATCCATACTCATTCCTACTACTAACTACTACTCACTACTACCATCTACTACTACCTACCCACCCACCGGGGGGGGCGGGGAACATAGCTCCTGTATATCCATACCCATTCCTACTACTAACTATTACTAACCCCCCCCACCCCCCTACCCATCCAAAGGGGGGGGCGGGGAACATAGCTCCTGTATATCCATACCCGCATGGGATTGGACATTAGAAGCGCTTCACCTATTGAACCTATTGCACCTCTTTGCTTGTGTGTTGCCGCAGCCGTCCGTGGTTCGCAGCTATCGTGTCGCTCTCGCTGCTACGCCCGTCTCTCCATCATGCACTTCACGGACCTGCCGTTTTCAGTTCTCCTCCTCCATCTCCTGGATTTCTTGCCGCTCGGTTCCGCTGCTTGCATCGCCGCTGCTGCTCACTTTCCGGACGTTGCAGTGCAAAGCTTCTATGCGTATGTTCGGAGCATCAAGCGAACGTGTCGGCAGAAGCTGGGGCCATTGCTTGCGCTTGGCTTTAATGCTCCCTGCCTGAGTTTCCGTCATCAGCCTGCTCTGCTCTGGGATCCTCGGCTACGGCCTTCTGCGTGTTCGTGGCACGCTGTTGGTGGCGACCGGGTATTTGTACAGCGAGAAGATGAGGTGGAAGCAACTATCTGTCGGCTTGCTGCATCTTACCTTCATACAAGGGGAGTGCTTAATACTAGGGGGGTTGGATTAATCATGGGAAATATGCTGGATTCATCCTCAAAAATGGAGGCTTTAACTAGCACAAATGGTGACATATACGGGGACGAGGGGATGGTCGCCATCCAACTCTAGATAATCTAATGAGGACATAATTTGTAGGGACAACATGGGGAGATTAATAGCTATAACTAACCAACTGACATGACATGATATGACATTTGGATTAAATTCAATCCCAATAACCATTATAATGATAATTTATTATGGGGTGTTAATGGTGCATAACTAAACATGATATGTTGATATGTTGGTTTTTTGAAGATTGGGGATTTGCCCCTAAGGTATCGCATTGTTAATTGTTAATTGTTAATTTGCCCCTAAGGTATCGCATTTGCCCCTAAGGTTTTGAACCGTCAAATTGTGGGTGCCTTCTTTTCTAACAAACCCAAATGGAGGTATACTTAGGATTTAATGGGGAGAATGGTGGGATTGAACAATTTATTTAACCGTTTTTAACCATGTTCATGTTTGTTCGTTATTAGAGCATGGTGGAACACACATATCATAAACTGGGAGTTAATGGGGATTGCACGAACCATTCATGGGGATGTAATGGATATAAAACCAACAATCTGATATGTGGGCGTCTCTGAAAACGGTGCTAAAGCTCACAATACTAGCAATAATGAGGATGCCAACAACCAATTTTGCTTAGGATATAAAAATGGAGATATCCTACCAATTTGGTAAATATACATAGGATATATCCTACCAATGAGGTGGTTCAATGGGGATATAAAGATGGTCGTTAGGATTGGGAAATCATCCCAAATGATCAAAGGATGTGTTTTTTTTGGTGGGCTTACAACGGGTTCATTATAATCGGGGGAAACCCTGGTTTCTTATTGGACATGACGTAAATGGAATAAAACGAAACTAACCAAAAAATTGACATGGTTTTCCCTTAGTAAGCAAAGAAACATGGGGTATCGCTGCGATTTCATTTATTGAGAAGTATGTAAACGGAATCAAATGAAACCCAGAATTTGATATGGTTTTTCACTTAGTTAGCAAAGACACGTGGGGTATCGCTGGGATTTCATTGGGATGTTTGTGACATATTCTGGACAGTAAAACAAGCAAAATGGTATTTGGTTGTCTCTGACAACGAGGGAATTTACAGTCATCAACAAACATTCAGATTCATAACCAACCATATTGAGTATGTACAAAGATTAGTTTATGACCCACCAACAATTGGATAATGATATTTGTGTGTGTGAAAATGGTGATATGACACAAGTAGGGTGCCTGGCTGCATAAACTTCACCACGGCGGGGACTTCCGACGTCCTGGCAGTGCAGGCTCTCGCGTCACACTCCCTGACACGTTTGATGCCAAGACTGTTTGCATTGTCATCGACGATCAGGCCAGCACACTTTGGACATAGTGCGGTGTGGGGGATGTGACTTATGGATCTGCTTTGCATGTGTAGTCTTATGATGCACCGTCCAAGCTAATTCTGTAAAGCGCATTTCTTTTAAAAAAAGCAAAAAAAACAACAAAACAAAAAACAAAAAAAGAAAACAAAGCAAACAAAAAAGCAAAAAACAAGCAAACAAAAAAGCAATAAAAAAGGAAAAAAAACAAAAAACAGCAAAAAAAACCAAAAAAACTGCATGGATGCATGCTTCATTTTGTTTTCCCTTCTCGCGCGCGCTGGCAAAAACATGCATGCTCATTTCATCTGCCAAGGTGAATGACAATATGCAGACCGCCTTGCGTCGCTACAAGGTGTTCAACGTCTTGCAAGCCTATAAGGACATGGAGGAGCAGAACTTGATCATCAAGACGCACATTCGGGGAGCTCGCTGCTTGAAGTTTGAAGCCCTGGCGGCACATGCCCTGACTATCAAGCTCAAGGAAAATGCCAAGAAGATGTTGCGCGGTGAGTTTGCCGCATTGGCAGGAGGCTTGGTTGACGAGAGCGATGTGCAGCCGGCTTTGCTGCAGGCAGCCAAGGAGCTGTTGGATTAGAGCGTAGAGATTTGCGAGGCCGCTACTGTCAGCGGGGATGCGAGCAAGGGCGTCCGCAATTTCCAGAACTGTAGTCAAGTCGAGCAGCAATTTCTTTTGGTTACCCCCTGCTTTACACTGTTGATACAACCTCAAGTCTAGGGGAAAGAGCTGCGCGAAAGCTGGAAGGAAATCATTTTGATGCCAGCTCGTTGGCGCTTTTGAAAGGTAGCACCTCGATCTCAATGTACAGTGTACAGATTTTAAATCTAGAAGCATGCAGAACATATCATGGATCGCCAAAGACAGAAACCGCTGCCGTGGCGTCAAAAGGTAGCAGTGGCTGATGCCACCTATTGTTCAGTATTGGTGAGCAGCAAGCGAGAAGCGAACACTTGGAGGATCATATCACTTAGTAATGGATAATAACCCTGTGAATTCTATCCTTCAGTGGGTTACCCCAGCCGTTAAGATAAACAGTTTTTACTTCCAGGTATTAACCAGTTACTAAGGGGATGATCCTGCAAGTAGGAGGCAGAAATCAGACTATGCGATTTAAATGAGATTGATTGTTTGAATGCTAGCTGGCATTCTGGCGAAAGCAGCTTTGCAGGTAGGTTTCGCCTCATTTCATGTGCCTGTGTTGCTTTTCACCCATCACCCTCAGACAGATTTGGCATGCAATGTGATACCCAATATTATATTAAGTCAGCGATATGTAATAATATCATACTATGCGGTTTTTTGTTAGACTCCTGTGCCTGGCGATCTTCCCGCGGCGTTTGATTGGCATTGCTGTGTTTCACACTGCTTTGTTCTCTTTGTAACTCTTGCTGTCCGTGATAGCTGCTAGCTGCTATAGTAGCTATAGTGCTACAGGTTCCCTGTTCCCTGCGGTGCGCTGCATGTGTTTCTTCCGTGTGCCGTGTGCCTGATCCTGTGTTTTGCCCGCTTTTTCCATTGGTTCTTGCGTTTCTTGTTGCCATTGCCTGCTGGTTTCTTTGCTTTCCTGGGTTTTTACTTGTTTTTTTTTGGTGTTTTTTTGCCTTTTTTTTTTTTGCTTTTTCAATCGCCTTTTTTGGCGTTTTTTTTTTTCCATCGCTTTTTTTCAAGCGTTTTTTTTTTGTTTTTTTTTTGCTTTTTCAAATCGCTTTTTTTTTTCGTTTTTTTTAAAAACCAGGTTTACAGGAGTTAGCTTGTATAGCAGACAACATAAGTGTAGTCCGTGACGTGTAGATTCCTTCTGCTCAACCACATTGTGTGCTGCTGACACTGGCATATGCTCATCAATCTTTCGACTCCGTTATGTCATCCATTGCCGCAGGAGTACATGTTGATCCCAAAGCCCACGACACCGACGAAGTTGACTGAGGGCTTGTGCAAGGTCCGCTCCAGGTCCACTGGGAAGGACTACTTTTTCCATCCTGGATCTGGGCGTTGCAGCTGGGAACTGTTTTGAGGTGGGCTTGCCACCAAATGTCAGTGGCTGATTCTTGTGTTGTGATCTTACCGGACCCACGAACATTTCAGCTTGGAACATTGGTTTCTGCATCAACCACATGGCAGTCTGCATTCGGACCGACCGGTCTGGCTTGCAGCTTTTCACTTGGCGCCGGCCATGCCTCTGCGCCCCTGCGGTTTTGAGGTGGCTGCTTGCTTCGATCCCGGCAACACATCTTCATCTTCCATCTTGCACAGAGTCACTTTCATGCTGTGAAGCAAGCATCTCCCGTTTTGCGGCGTCGAACTCCACTCTTCCGTGGTATCCGTGTGCCACCAAATGTCAGTGGATGATGATTATGTTCGGATCTTCCCAGACCCACATACATTTCGGCTGGCAAAATGGACCTGCATCAACCACATGGCATTCTGCATTGAGACCAACCGGTCTCGCATGCAGCCTTTAAATTTGGGCCAAGTGTGCCTCTGCGCCTGTGTGCACAACGTGCCGACGCCTCGCGAGCGGAAAAGGTTGGTCCCTTCAGTCTCGCGATCAACGGTTGTGCTGTCGCAAGAACTCTTCATAGCAGCTCCCCCCCACCCGTTTCCCCCATGTAGCTGCTGCTGCTTGCCACACCAATCCATTAAACTACCACCTAATAAGAATGGTCACCCCCCCTTCCCCCACGCAGATAGGAATAATAATCATCGGCCCTCCCCTCTCCCGCTTGCCAAACCCATGCAATGCACGTCCAAATAATCATCATAGTCACCGCCACCCCTTCCCACCCCAACATACCAAGAAATCTCCTCATACGCGACGCTCCCTGCCCCCACCTGCCTACCGCATGTAGCGGCTTCTGCTTGCCAAACCAATCCATTGTCGACTGCTAATAATATTCACCGACCCAACACACTCCAAGGAAAAAACACCAGGAATAATAATAATCGAGCCTCCCCTCGCCCTCCTGCCACGCCCATCAATTGCCAAGTAATAATAATAGTCACCGACCCCCCTGGAAAAAAATGAACTTAATAATCTTCGACGTTCCCCTCCCCCCCTACCCACCGCATGTAGCTGTGCCTGCTTTCCAACCCAATCCATTGCCAAATAATAATGATCACCGACACCCCCAAAGCAGAAAGGACATAATAATACTAATCAGCCCTTCCCCCCGCTTGCCAAACCCATCCATTGCCAATTCCTTAATAATAGTCCTCCGCACTCCCCCCTTGCCTGTCCACTTTGCCGTGAATAAAGGACATAATCATACTAAGCAGCCCTTCCCCCCGCTTGCCAAACCCATCCATTGCCAATTCCTTCATAATACTCCTCAGCGACCCCCCCTAAGAAAAATAGATAGATAATAATAGTTTGACCCACACCTCCCCCCCCTCCCCACCTGTCTCCCGCATATACCTCCCCGCAAGCAGAAAAGAAATAGTCATGCCAATCAACCTTTCCCCCCGCTTGCCTAACCCATCCATTGCCAATTTCTTAATAATAATAATGGTCCTCAGCGACCCCCCCAAGAAAAAAAACAATACGAATAGTTCGACCCCCCCTCCCCCCCTCCCCACCTGTCTCCCGCGTGTAGCTGCTTCTGCTTGCCAAACCAATGCATTGCCGAATGCTTTGCCAAAAAATAATAGTCGCCGCAAGCTCCTCCCCTCACCCTTGCCGCTCCTGTTGCTTCTTGCCTGTCCACTTTGCCTGCATCAGCATTGTTGCATAGTAATACTTGTCTTGGCACCCCCCCCGCCCCTTGAAAAAAAACGGTTTCGAACGCGGGCTCCTCCTGTATACCCATACCCATTGGGGGGGAGGGGGGGGACCTGGGAGGCTGCATCATATATACATACGTATATATATATATATACATATAAAAAAAAACAATATATATATATATAGATACACATACAATATATATCTGTAGTTCTCACAGGCTATACCCCAGATCCGATCGGCCAAGGTGCCATGATCACTTTGATCTTTCCCGCGGTTTTGTTCCTTGGCACAAAAAAACATTCTTGGTTCTGCAAAGAGTTGGCCGATAACTTGGCCTTTCATTAAAACAAGTTAGGATTTAATCAACAAAAGCAGACTTTGATAAATCGATATAAAGGTATTTAACCAATAGAAGTGTGATTTTAACGAACGACATTGAGGACACACACCAACAAAAATGAGAGTTTAAGCAGCAAAAAAGAATTTACCAAAGAACATCATGATTCGATCCGACAACATGGGATTTCATCGAATTAACAATCATCGTATTTTCTCCGTATTTCAATGCATCAAAATGAGTATCTGAACCAACAACAGTCGGACACAAATAAGGGTTTTTACCATCAAAGACGAGTCAGCTGGCTGTGTTATGACCATGGTTGTCAATCAGATGCTATTCTCGACAATCTAACCTGATGACAGGAACAATCTGGCAAGCCTAGTATAATACACCTATAGTTTGCGCTTCATAAAACCAGAGGCGGTAAAAACGGGTCGGTTCAATGTTGGACTTGCCATATGAATATCGACCCATGATTAGCAAACAATGCCTGACCAGTTGGGAGGGTTATAAGCATAATAAGGGATATTTGTATAACTGTCTCTACACGGACAGTATGTATTATGTTTATACTGTATAAAAATATATATATGTACATCACATATATATATAATCTGTGCAAAAAGCGGAACACACCCGATTATAAAACCAATGGCTTCAACATTCACCGAGGCTGGCATTCCAAACATGTCTTGACAACGGATACATATGTACCCTCAATGATATAGCACGGACCCTCCTTTCGAATTAAGCAGGCACCATTTCTTTATGCCAATGTTATAGTGTATATATATATAGTACATAATTCCCAAAAAGATAGAAATTTGAATGATCAATCTTTAGTGAGATTTTCCTTTTCTTATCTTTTGGTCATGTCCAAAAAGCTCTTTTCTTATGGGGAGTCAAGCCATCTGATTTTCACCCCCAGAGATCCAGCTAGGCCGGGTCCCAGCAACTTTAAGCCACAACTATAACCATCACCCGTTGATTCATGTACCCTCTGGTAATTTTATTAGTTTGCTATTAAACATCACCATTTTTAATGGCTAAATCAACGAACTCAATGGGCAATTTTCAATAGCAAACTCTTATTTTACCAGAGGGTAAGTGTATTGTTACAATAATTTTTTTGTGGCTATTTTGGTATACTTACCCCAATCCTAACCATTGTTTTTTCAGTTTACTTCCCAATCTGTGTTGACGTTGCACCTCCAGGCTTTTCTATGCTGGGAGGCAGAGCCTCGGCTTTGTATACCTCACCGGCTGAGGTCAAAGGTTTTTTCCCCATTTTTTTTGGGGGGGGTTGACCCTCAAACTGGTTTACCCTCTGGTAAACATACCAAAAACTATGGAAATCCCCACTTTTAATAGGTAATTAAATCAACGAACTAAATGGCCATTTTCAATAGGTATGTTAGTTTACCAGAGGGTATTTCCAGTTTCCGAATTGTATAACACTATTGTTCCATATACTATTTATAATATACTGTACACATAAATACAGGACATCTTTGTCTATGTAAGAATCCAGCAACACTTGGAAATATGGGTTTGTCTGAGATCACCCCCAAAACCCACAGGACTGGAACTTCACTTTCCTATCATTCTGGCACTTTTTGGAGTACAAATTTTGGATAAACTCATATGAATCAGCAACAAAGAGGACGAAAGAGGTGAGAATTGGCATGTTCATGGTCTTGAGTGATCAACTTCAATTGTTGGTTACGCCTTGGGATGGAAATGAGTTTTTACGTTTCTGGATCAGAAAGGCATGTATCAAATGATGCCGTTTCAAAAAAAGAGCTTCCGAATTACCAAGAGAAGAACACTGTGCCCGTTGATTCTGAAAACTCCTTCTCCAATGGAGACGTCGTCCGGCCTTTTCTGTCGAAATTCATCCACCCCACCATTGGTAGCGAAGACTATTCCCATGATCTGTGGTTCACACCCCATTGGAATATAAATGACCTACCCTCTGGTAAACATCGCAATGGAAAATCCCTTACTCATGGAGGTTGATAGCTGGCAAAATCATCTATGACAGGTGGGTTTTTCCATAGCTACCCTCTGGTAAACGTTTACATAACTATGGAAAATATTTTTTTTAAATGGGAAAATCCACTGTAATGGCCATTTTCAAAAACTTTTTGTATGTTTAACAAAGGGTACATAATCATCCCATTGATCATAGATAGATATTTGGTCAACTTGTTCCACCAGGAGCGACAGCGACAGCTCCGAATTTGGCAACTTCGAGCCCACCTGGGCTGCAGCAGCTGTAGCTCTGGCGGGAGTTGTTCTGCTGGTGTGCCTGGGTCGCATCAAAATCGCAGGCTGTGGTGGTTGAAATGTCGAGTTACACTACAGGATGGGGCCCCCAGTCGAGCTCGCGTTCAGTTGAGATATAAGTGGCTGAATTCTATGGTTTATGGAAATATAACTATAGTTAATGGGGTTTATAAACCAACTTATAACTTGGGGGAGTTAGCCTATGACCATGGTGCTAAAAAAATGAGGGTTGAATGGGATTTTCTGATGGTTTAATGGGATACAATCCAGAAACATGTTGATATTCATGGGATTTATCCGATTTTGTTGTTACATAGCTTTAGAAAACGGCCAGCTTGTAGATTGTTTACTAATTCTGGTTGGTGGTTTGGAACATATTTTATGAATTTCCAAATATTGGGAATTTCATAATCCCAACTGACGAACTCATATTTTTCAGAGGGGTGGCGAAAACCCACCAACATCACCAACCAGAATTGTTTACCTATTAAAACTGGTGAAATCTCATAGCTCTTTTAAATTGCCAGAGGGCAATCCAAGGAAAGATCAGCAAACATTACTGTGGAAAATCATCAACACAAGCACACATAGGGACGCAATCAACAAAGATCAAACAGTGGGGAACGTAATTTTCGCAACAACAGGCAAACAAAAAGGTGGATTTAAGCAGTTTTTTTTGGAACTTGTTTGGCGATGGGATTAAATCAGCAAATATGCTGGCGTTGAGCAGCGATGGTGAGTTTCACCAACCCGATTTTTTGGGGTTCTAACCAGGAAAAAAATCTACACTCCGGTTTCATTAAAGCTAGCTGGAAAGTAAACACGCTGTGCTGAGGATTCCGGCTATGGGTATGCTTTCTTTTCACACTTGAAGCCATCAAATAAGAGGTGCTGCCCGTTATAAGTTGCTCTTATAACCCCGATAGACTAGTTCGATATACCTACCATATTCTACCATAGACCCATCAGCTATTGGAGATATTTTTGCTTTGGTCCATTTTGGGGCCGGCAGGATGGGCCTTGGGGCCCCAGGTCGTGAACGCTAAGTTGGTGAACTATAATAACAAGTTGGTGTATGATACTTATAACATCTTATAACTATATTTAGATGGGGTTATAAACCAACTTATAACCGGGGGGAAAAATCCTGCAGGTTTGGATCGATCATCGTCCTCATGAAGAAGTTCTTTCCTGAAGCCCTACATTTGCCTCAGTAAGATCTGCTCTGACCGAAGCTTTCCGAGCCAGATCCCTTTTCCAGGGCTTCCCGACTCCGCCATGTGCATGATGGTTTAGTTGGGAACTCATTCCCGAAAAACATGGAGATCATGGAGTGGCTTCATCAGATTTCGGCATACCTCCATGATGATCCATGATGCCTTTCGTCTGTTGGTATAGTTGACCATCATGTGGCATTCTTGAACCCCAATCAAGGTTTTGACCCATACCAAAAAGTGGGGTTTGGCCACCATAGAAGGTCCTCCAATTTTGGCATCCTACTCAGTTTCCACAAGGAAAATCAATGAACAACATCCGCTGTACTACCAGGAAGGTGCCGGTATAGCCCTAGTTGCAGAGGCTTCACCATGGTTATTCGCAGACCCCAAATCAACCCCAAGTACCATGCAAAAGTCAGCCCGAATTAGATGGGTCTATCCAAACGTGTGGCACCCCGAAACAATCATTATTAATCACTGAATCACTTTCCAAGTGAGATTTCATGCGTTGTTTCCCTTCGCCCAGTTGTTTGGTAATCACTGAAAATCGGATCCCAAGTAAATCACCGTAGTTGATAAAGTACTTGATCAGTAGCTTTCTATGGCATCTCAGCCGCTGGTGTATACTTATACATAATGTATATATATATAATTATATATATTATATACATATAAAATATATACACAGAAATATGGAAGTAGATGATTCCGGAGAGAACCCCGTTTCGCTTGCGAAAATCTTGGAACTTGGCCCTTGAAGAGATCCGCTCGTTGCTGCGCGGCGAGCCATCCTTGAGATTGACGCTGGAGAAAAATCGCAAAGGGAGATGCGGTGGCTGGTTTGAAGCTAACATAGCTATCCATTTTTTTCCCAGGATATCACCATTTTACAGAAAACTAACCTGGAAAATACGTGTGTTTTACAAAAGTTTTTTAAAGGGACTTTATTTAGTTTACCAGAGTGTAATTCATGAATGATGATAGGTTCATGGTTGATTAGTGATTGTAATCCCTTCCCCCTAATATTAATTAAACACCCCCCAAAAAAAACCATAGTTTAGTAATTGGGGCCGTTTGGTGGTGCGGGATTTCGCAACCATCCACAGTATCTCCATACATATCTCCCAAGTAATTTAACATAGCTATTGAACATGGCCCATAGAAATAGTTGATTTACCGAACTTAAAGATCATGATTTTTCATTGTTTTTTGTATGTTAGAAGGTATCTCCCAACCTCTGTGGCAAGGCGGAGCTGCAGCACATGCGCATGGAGAACATGCGACTCCGCCTGCGCTTGGCTGAAGCCGGGATTCAGCCTCTTGGCGCGGCAAAGTGGCGATTGGTTTTAGCAGCCAAAATGGGGAGAAATGATGTTTTAAGCCTGCAAAATGGAATTTATGGTTGCTGATAGGGATTTGATCCATGATTTTAAACATATTTTCATTCCATTGATAGGGATTTGATCAGTCATTTCATGGAATAGCCATGGTACTCTAACGAGCAGACCAGCTGGATGTTATATAATTGGACGCTACCAACAAACATGCTGGCGATGGAGATAGGACGGAGATCTATTTTGGTCAACTTTGGATGGAGAGTTTAGTGCCAGCAAAAAAATCACATGATAGCCATATATCAGCTATATGTTGCTATTTGATGCATATAGCCTATATATAGCAAAATAGTTTAGTGCAACTTTTGATGGGGTACATGCTAGCCAACTATATCTATTTTTTTTTAAATCAGTGTACCTAAAGATTGGCCGTGGTTAGTCGCATCGTGAATCAGCAGAGTTTGCTCCCCCCCAGGAATGGTTTCTTTAAAGGACAGAAGAGGGATGCAACAGAAGTGGGGAGTGAACCAACATCAAGATGAGAAAACTTGATATTTCTTGACAAATTGCATAGATCAGCTGCAATTCACCCCTGTCCGCCTTTTTGTTCGACATGTCTTTTCCTTCTCCACCCCTCGACAAAAAAGACTTTCAAGAGAACGTCGAAAAGCGATCGCAGCGTTGCATGGCTGCTGCCATTTGGTTCAGTGAGAGGTGCGACGGCTCTGCCACATCACACGGCAAGGTTTTCTGACATCTCGTGACTCGTTTTCGCCATGCGTGAGGCCATCTGCATTCACATCGGTCAGGATTCTTGGCAATACAGCGGACCTCACAAGGAGTGATGTTTAATAAGGGGAATCATACCGCACATGGATAGAAATGGCTTTTTTCAGTTGAAGAACTTATTTATCCATGGCTTTTTGCAGAAAGGGTCCTGCGGATCTTTTTCGGATGGCGAACAGTTTGAAGTAGTGTTGCTGAACCATCTGGCTGACGACATCATTTATTTACCAGGACCATTTTTAAGGTTCCTCTTTTACGTGTGTATTCTGTTAACCGGATGGTTCACCGACGCTGGTAATGGAACATGATAAGTACAGTATGGACACTGACCCTTTTTAGATAAGATTCATTGTAGTTATCCCATACGTATCCATTATTATCCCACTATAATCCATTATGATCCTATCTTCTCGCGTTAATATCCTACTATATCCCATGAAATGGCATGGGGTTTACCACATTACTCAAACCATTTGTAACAAGTAAAGCACCAACTTTAGAGGTAATTCATCCATAGATGGTCCATTTTCCTTAGGTACTGTAGATGGACAAACCATAATCCGATAAAGATTACCCTGCGGTAAACTAACATAGCTATTGAATATGGCCCATTTATAGTTGATTTACCTATGAAAAATGGTGATTTTCCATAGTTTTTTGTATGTTTACCAGAGGCTACAGTGTTTCATAGTCCTGGTGCGGGATTTCATATGCCACCGGCGGACCAACAACTCTTGCTGGAGACGGACTGACTTTTGTTTGACGCGGCGAGAAGGGCGCGATGTTGTGACTTACATGACATAGACTGAATGCCTTTTTTAAATATGGAGATGACTCTGAGATGACATGGGGATTGTAAAAAATGTGATTTACAAGGATTTAATGTGAATATCACGTGGATTTAATGCGGACAATAAGGATTTTCTATTGGAAACCATGAATACCGAATACCGCTGTTGATTGTTTATGAAATAGACTCGACACACCTCACCATCACATACGGTTTTGGACCACAAGCAATTGAGATTAATTTTGGTTTGTTAGTTATAATAGTGGGTTATACTACCTGGTTTATTTAGGATAATTACAATAGGAATGACTATAAATCAACCAGTATTATGGGACGGGATAGAAGCATTTTGCATGGCCCACATGAAACTGGACTCGAGGATTGTTGTTTCCAACAGCGAAAAAATCTTCCATACCAAACCGAGTTTTCTTGGGATCAATGTTGTCTACTTGTTGTGTCAAACTTTCTGCCATGTTGCATCCTTTCTTCTCTGATTGTTTTCCATGTTTTTGTGAACTACTGGTTGCTCCCCTTTCTGATCTTCAATTTGCCCCTGCAACCAGTAAGTACTATACTTTTTTTGTTAGGGCAATCCACATCAACGTCGCATGAAAAGGCCAACCATCAAATGTCAAGATGACCACACAAAAAATACTAGATATGGCAAATTTTCGGAGAATCGATGCAATACATTGACGTTCTTGTGAATTCTTTATTCAACAGGCTTCGGGCGAAGGGGCTGCCCACACCGCGCAGTTCCCTCAGAATAGACCTGGGAGGGCGGGAAGGAAAAGGCTCCAGGTAAATCCTTTTCTTAAAGCCAACTCCGATGCACGGATCAGATATGTGAAGAACTGGTGGGCAAGGAAAGGGTTGCCAGTGCGAAGCATGTTCAAACAAACCCGGCGGCAACACACCCAAAAACTATGCTGGAACACCTTCATTTTGCTACCGTGCCGTTGCTGGCATGTTGTTTTTCCAAGTGGACACAGCCTTTGGCTCGGATGACCCCTTTGTAATTGCCGACGGCAACAGCGCATCGTTCCAGATGTCACAAGTGCTGTGCAAGGAACAAGACACGAGCACCGTAAGTTACCCTGTATCTTCTGTTTTTTATTTCAAACAACACCCACAACATAAATGGTGCATGTGCTAGCGATTGCGCACTTCGAAACGGAAAGCTCAATCATTGACACCTTTGTGGCACCTCAGCAAATAAGCGCATCTGTATATTCTGATGTATCTACTGACATGTCGCCTGGCATCGGGATAAGGAGGAAGCCCGGTGGGGCACATGCACGGTAGGAAGAGGAGGAGGAGGAGCTGACACACATAGACCCTGACCTGACAGGCTGGGAACAACAAAAATTGTCAAAGAGAGATAAAGTTTATTTTGCCATTCAACAAGACAAAAGGTCAGCGAAAGCATGTGCCAACGTTGACAAAAATCGAACATAGGCCTGGCATAGCCCAAAGCTTCGGAACCGACAAGCAAGAGAAATGCCCCCTCCACGTGGTTTAAGCTGAGCATACCCACGATAGTTCCGACGCCTTCACGCGCGTTCCAGCGTGCGTGGTTTGCACGTCTGCTCATGCCCTCACATTCCTCACCACCAAGGGCGGTGTCCAGATTGGCAATGCATGCTGGGAGCTTTTCTGTTTGGAGCATGGCATCCAACCGGATGGCCAGATGCCCAGTGCCTTGGAAAAGTCACTTTTGTGGCTCACAACTCAGGATTGATGTTGGCCCGTAGTTGGTTATGGGGGTGTACCGTGTATATTTGATACCATCTGTGTAGGTGGGATCTTTCATGAATAAAACGCGGGGCTTCACTGATCCTGGGTTGAAGTAGGGCCTTCCCTTGCTGAATGGGGTATTTCTAACAGCAGCACCTCTTCTGACAAATTTTCATGAATAGTTTTTCACGACCATTTTTGGGCAGCTGTTCAACATGCTATTGATCGGCTAAGGGATGATGCGGCAAATCGTTTGATGTTTCGTTGCTATACAGCGAGCAGTATAGCCATTCAACTGGGATACCTTCCCGAGCTCAAGACCACACTGGAACTGCCAGTTTCGCTATCATTAGTAAAGTGCGTCTTGTCGAAAATCAGTTTGGCCCCCATTCAGTCTCAGTCGTGTTCCAAGCGCCTCCGTACTCTTGAACATTTTGGGAGGTCAACTCTTTTGGTGCAAATGTGGCAACGTCTTTAAAAAAGTTGCGTACATGCAAGAGGCGAAATTCATGATTCCCTAGCGCTACCTTAGCGATACCGATTTGTTCGAAAAGTAGTCCCGGACTACAGATAGAAGCTTTCCCCCTTTCCTTTCCACTTTCTTTCCTCGGTCTTCGTTGGTTTCCTGTGTCTTCCCTCTTTCTTTCCTGTTATTTTCCTCTTTTCCTTTTCCGCTCTTCCTTTCCTCTCTTCGTTTCCTCTTCGTTTCTTCTTGCTTTCCTCTTTTTCTCTTTTCGTCCGTCTTTGGTCTTTTGTCGTTGCATATTTTTGTTCTATCATTAGAAATGCAAAACCATGCGTAGCGATAGGACACCGTAAAAGGTGGTGTGTGCATATAAATATATATATATATATACATACACACATATGTAACGGCAATCAGTTTCGACAACGGCTGATGTGTGTGTATATATAATGTATATAAAAAACCGCGCCAACGGCCCAGATTTCGGGTTACACTGTCTGTACAACTGTACAATAGGCTACCTTTCCCAACTATGCGGCAGTCGCCTCATATGAAGAACCCCGAAATTCACTTGATATAATATTGCCCCTGCAATGAAGGTCAGCTGCTGACTCTTGTTTAGGCAGACTTGCGACAGACTAAAACTGCAGACTGATGCTGCTACAATTACAAAACATGCAGCAAACAATTTCCTTTGTCCCAAGTAGCCCAGCAGTACCAAACTTGCAAAAGGCAACCTATGGGTAGGACATTAGAGATACGATATCTGGGCTCTCATCCGAATCTGTAGAGGGTGCCCCAAAAATTGTGGTCAAGGTGACAAGACCATTGGTGGTGGCGATGATGCGTTCAACACGTGCCTTGGTGAGTTGGGTTCGGGTCACGTTTCTGGAGGCCCGTAGATTTGGAGAATTGCTGATCATCTGTTTTTGCCTCTAACCCACCAACCTTTGTGGGCACAGAGCATATATTGTGTGGGAGGTGCGCACAGTGACGAAGGTTGTACGAGAATGTCCTCAGATAAAATTTGCGCGCGTTGCCAAAAATCCTTGGCATTGCCTGTCTGCATGCATGTTGTGTGTCACAGAAGGAAAACCGCTCCTATATGGTTTACAAACTCAGCCCGTCCCCGTGATCAAGTGGATGGGAAGGAATCCAGTGCACATTGAGGTTCTTTTCAGAAACTGGTGCAGGAAAACACGTGCCTCGATGCGTCATGGTGGACCTCGAACCTTGGCTGCCAAGTTGGTGGCTGCAGGGTCGGTCTTGATGCGTTGAAACATAGACCAGCTCAACCTCAGGGGGGACTAGCCTGTCACTGGCTGGTGAACATCTATGTTCCATAGCGTGGCTGCCCCTATTTGAGAGGCTGAACAGTTGAAATTAGTGTTGGCAAACGTCTTAATGATCGAAGGAAGTTTAGAAGTCAAACTTCCGACAATATGGACAGATGGAAAAGCAGAGGTGGTAAGAGTCAGCGAAGAGAACAGCAGAAGAAAGAAGATCAGAGAAGAGAGACAGTCAGAAGAAAGAAGATGCAGGTGCGCGAAAAGGTAGAAAAGTCGCGATTCAGTGTGTTTTTCCAATGATTTGTGGTTCCGGAGGGTCGAAAAGTAGGCTAGCTAAAGCGGCGGGTGCGGAGCCATCTGGCCAGATGAGAGATGAACAATTGCACGCCGTTGTGGTGCGAAGCACATTTCGAAGTCAACATGTACAAAGCACGTCAGCTTCGGAGAACTTTTGGAAGTTGAGATGTTGAAAAAGTGCACACTGTTGTGGCGCGAAGCACATTTCCAAGTCAAAAGTGTTAAAGCTGACGGTCTCGGACCACTTTTGGACGTTCAGATGTCGTTTCGCGTGGCAGGCGCAAGGGGTTCTGCATCTTGCCACAAGTGAGCAAAATGTCAGGGTGTTGTCGCAGTTTCAACTACAACCACTACACTACACACTCCGCAACACTACGCTACACTACAACTACAACTACAACTACACTACACTAATTACATGTCACTACGCTACACTACACTCCACTCCACTCCACCCCGCTCCACTACACTACACTACACTACACAAACCACAACCACAACCACAACTACTACACAACTACACAACTACACAGCTACACAACTACACAGCATTACACTACACTACACTACACTACGCTACACTAATTACACTACACTACACTACACTACACTGCACTGCACTGCACTGCACTGCACTGCACTGCACTGCACCACACTACACTACACTACACTACACTGCACTGCACTGCACTGCACGGCACGGCACGGCACTACACTACACTACACTACACTACACTACACTACACTACACTACACTACACTACACTACACTACACTACACTACACTACACTACACTACACTACACTAACTACAACTACAACTACATTTACAACTACACTACACCAATTACACTACACCACACCACACCACACTACACTACATTACAGTACGCTACACTACACTAACTACAACTACAGCTGCAGCTACAACTACAACTACGCTACTTTACCTTACACTACGCTACACTACACTAGACTACACTTCACTACACTACCCTACATTACATTACGCTATACTCATTACACCACCACACATGCAACTGCAACTACACTACACTAATTACACTACACACAACTACAGCTCCACTACACTACAACTACAACTACAGCTGCACTACACCACACTACATCCAGCAGTTGTGGGTGAGGTGGCCGACCAGGTGACCACTGTAATCATTGTAACCACTCCCAAAAACACAACTCCAACCACCTTTCAGTCCATCAGTGGATTCGCTCTGCCATCCGTGATTCACGACAACCAAGCTCTCCTATAGGTTTCCTATTCCGAAACTTTCGCCACCGCCTTGTGCGGTACTACTGGTAGGTATGGTTCGTACCATTACTGCGATTGGCTTGCTGGGACCCGCAAATTTTCTGGTTCAATGCTTCAAATTTTACGGTGACAGATAGAAACATGGCAGCACCCGCATTTGAGTTAGCAACCTGACAAGTGGAAGACCAAGTCGGCTGGTCGTGAAGGTGGTTTGAATGTTTTCAAAAGTCTTCTGGTGAAGAGCAAAACTGGACCGTTTAATTTAGATTAAAAATGCCTGTGCCATTGTCTCCACATGTGTTAAAAAGTTGGTGCGTGTGCTCGGTTTTGAATAGTCTGAAGATTTTTTCTTTTAAGATTGTGTTTGGTTCCAAAATTTTTCGACAAAAACAACAAGTGGTTGCACAAATACCAACGATATACGCAATTTGCAGTTCAGTAGTGTGCGCAAACATTGATCGCTTGTTCTGCGAGTTCTTCCACGTTTTTATCAGTCATCAAGCGTTGAATGGTTAGACTAAACCTTATGCGTGCCCTGTGTTTTGGATTGAGACAGCAAAAAAATCATTGACAATTTTGGCCCAAGGAAATTTCACGTTACTTCCAATGGTGCCAGGTTAAAACAGTTGTTTGTAGAAATATTTCAGCAAAACCGATGTGCACGTTTGACAGGTTAAGAAATTGCGTTTTTTTTTTCAAACCACCGAGACAATATTACAATGAGACACTTTCGACGAATGGTTGATACAAGAGTCCAAGCAATTGTTGACAGAATTTCAGGATTTGCAAGAACATTTGAACAAATGCGGTTTTCAACCATTTGAATACAATGGTGGTACCGGTATCAGCTTAAACAATTTTAAGCAAACGGTGAATCAAGTTCAGAAAAGCTTCATCAATTTTCGGAACACTATTTAATACATATAAACAGTTTCAAATTATTTACGTCCGGGGGTACCACACTTTTTGAGAACATCCAAAACATGACGAAATTGGGCGTTGCGGAACAAAATACTCGCCCGTCCGCCAGGAGCCCACAGTCGTTGATGAGGTGCGCACTGGCACTTACCGTCAGCTCTTTCATCCAGAACAATTGATCTCCGGAAAAGAGGACGCAGCCAACAATTTTGCACGCGGGCACTATACGATTGGCAAGGAGATTGTTGATTTGGTCCTGGATCGCATTCGTAAACTTGCTGACAACTGCACTGGAACCTGGGTTTGCAGTCAATCGAACATTATGGGTGTGTCTAAAAATGGGCGATACCCAAAACAAAACCTTTAAATATGGAAAATGATGATAGGACTTTTGGGTATCCAATTTTCAGTCGAATCGCATATAATATGCGTTTTTTTTTTCTTTGTGTTCATTTTGCAAGGGATCCTCTTGTTGCCATGTTTTGGGTCCCCCTTTGTGAAAGGATTGCAGGGTTTCTGCGTGTACAACGCGTGCGGGTGGCGGCACTGGATCCGGCTTGGGCTGCTGTGATTTTCGACTCGTTTGTATTTGGTCAACCCATGGGCCCATGGGCAATCTACCAAGGCAGATCCACCATTTGGGGAATCTATAAGGTAAATACATCATTTGGAGAATCTATAAGGTAAACCCAGAAAATCTATAAGTTTTTTTTTTTTCCTGGGACCATCTTAAGCAAATATCAGGTGGACTATGGAAAGAAGAGCAAGATCTCTTTCACCGTGTGGTGCTGCCCACAAGTAGCAACGGCTGTCGTCGAACCGTACAACACTGCATCTTAGCTGAAGTCCAGGTGAAAACATGTGCATGCAATTGCAAAGACAGATGTTGGATCCACGCACAGATACCCATGAGAATCATCGATATGTGATCTAATGTAAAAATATGCATGCACATGTATGGTGGATGTATGTGTGCCGAGATAATTCATTCTGCAGACTTGTGTTTGCATGTGTTTGTTTGTCGCGTGCATTTTTTTTTGTGCTGCATGCGAACACACGCGCCATACATCAGCCTGTCCATTTTTTCACATATAAACTTAAAGAAAGATGTACAAAAGAGAAAGAAAGAGAGAGAGAGAGAGAAAGCGAAGAGATTGCCGCTATGTCACGCAGGTGTTGTGCGTGCATTCGCTGTTGGAGCACACCGACGTGACCATCATGTACGACAATGAAGCACTTTACGACATTTGTCGCAGGAACTTGGATATCGAACGCCCAACCTACACCAATTTGAACAGGTGGGTTCGGTTGCGTCCCGTGTTTTGATGATGCTCATATTTGTTGGTTTGGTTATACATTGATTATAAGATGTGGGTTACATCACCGTAAATATGTGTTGGACTCGTCATTTCAAAGTGGATATGGGTCAAAATTGGTTACCCCAATAATTGGACACCCTTTGGTAAACGTTTACATAACTATGGAACATCACCGTTTTAATTAGGTAAATCAACTATAAATGGGCCATTTTCAATAGTTTTTTGTATGTTTACCAGAGGGTAAATGCATGGATAAAAACAGACTTAAACCTGTGGTATCCTGTGGCCCCTCAGGTTTAAAATTTTGACACACACCCAAGTGCATTTGGGGCACCTGTTCGACGGATAGGTCACCCGCATTTGTGATGATCATCCCCTTAAGAGAGACTTGTGATGGCCAAGATGGCAATGGAAAATCCACCGGTTATAGATGTTTTATGTCATTTTATGTGTTTTTTCCCTATTTAAATTGCTATTTTTAGTTGATTTCCCATTGCCATGTTTGAGGACACCGGATGGTCTTTTTGGGATGACCATGACGCGCCAGTCCCTTCAGGTTGATCGCCCAAATCATCTCCAGTCTCACGGCGTCCCTGCGTTCCTTGGGAACTCAATGAAGGCGTTGTTTGGGTATGGATGGTAGGGATCAAAAATCTAAGTCTCTAAGTCCCCCGGCAGATTTCAGGCATTTTTGGTATCTCATGTTTAGGATACCTGGTCAAGAATTGATGTAAGAGTTTGGTATCGATCTGGATTAAAACTCGATTTTAGGGGTACCTACTTTTTACCTAATTGAAAATTTGAACTATTGGGATGCAACCCTCACAACAGGGATTTTTAAGCATCAACAGTAGGGAACTAATCGTGGCTTCCCATGCCAAGATAGACCAATTTGGTGGATTGTCAGGGTCCACCATTTTAAGAAAGACACATGTAACGAAAGTAGTAGTACACATATCTAAATATAGGATCTTGATCTAAAATATGAAGAATATCAAACAAGTACATGTGACTGGTGTAATGTGGTGTTAAATTCGCAGAAATAATACCCATATGATTGTTATTTGTATCATATCACCCAGATAGATGATCAGACGATGCTTATTCTTCAGTCGTATGGCTATGGATCATATGGATCCTGGTACCCATCTGTTCACATCAAAACAGCTGGTAATTATGGATGTTCATGAGCCACAAGCATGCAAACATAGGTTCTTATATGTTTGATAAACGCCTGAAATGAACACAAACTAAAGATTTATATCTAAGGCTTTCGCTTCAACATATATTCTCAGATATGTGTTCTATGCACCTTTTAAATCCTATTATAATCAGATTCCCCTTAGATGAATCCCAATCTATTAGTTGTAATCAGCCATTGTTATTCTTTAAATCCCATCTTTATAATTATAGTCCCATCCCCTAATATTAAACACCCCCGATATGGTCCCAAATATGTAGTTTAATCCCATATTACACTATGGTTTCTCGGGTGTGTTTGATATTAAGGGGAGGGATTACAATCACAAGTCAACCATTAACCAAGCATCTTTTTTGAACTACATCCCATATTAATGTGTGGGTTTCTTGAAATGGTGGATCCCCAAGTCACCATTGGTTTCAATACTCAGTCAGGTCATCCATGACTTGGATGATTTGGGGGTACCCCTATGACTTATAATCAACCATCATATCAGCCATGGTTATTCGGTGAAAATTGACTATTGGTTCAAATGGTTTACTTAGTCAACCCACTTAAAGTGGTCATTAACCAATAACCACTGTTTACTTCAAAAAAATGACTACGATTGCTTAAAATGGACTATTATGGTTTATTTAACCAATATTGATTTATCCATTTTCATGAACTACATCCCATGTGAATCAACCATCATTAACCAACCCCTTTTTATATATGGAGGTTTCCTGAAATGGGGGTACCCCTAAATCATCAACTTCTAGATGGATTTTCCATTGTAAACCATCCAGCTACTGGGGTACCTTGATGACTATGGAAACCCCCATATGAAATATGTAGTACTGTTGATTTTTCCACGGACCATTATGGTTTATTGAACCAACCCCTTTATATAATATATATATACATACAGTATATATATAGTATATATCGTACATATACATATATATATATATACACGCACACATATATAGATATAGATATAGATATAGATATAGATATAGATATAGATAGAGAGAGAGAGATATATATATAATACGTACATATATACATGTGGCTTTGATCCCCGAGCTCTCGGTCATTCTCGGTCCAAGGCTTCGACGGAGCATTGAACGTGGACATCACCGAGTTCCTGGACGGCCATGGCTTGGAAAATTCAGGGATTTCGTCAGAAAAAATGGCGATTTCCATGGAGATTCAATGGTGATTATGGATGCTTTATATAGTTTATTTCATAGAAATCCCCCATGAAAATGGATGATTTCTATTTTAGGACACCTCCAAAGGGTGATTTCCACAGGGATTCAGTGGTGATTTCATGGGCTACACCAGAAAAATCTGATGATCATGGGTTTTACCCTGTAAAATGAATGTGTTGATGGTGCTTTGATGGGTTATACCAGTATATGTTCATTTAGGTAAACGTGGGGACATTGATCAGCCAAATGTGGCTTACAACCACGATTTTCGGGGGTTCCGATTTCATTGGTTATTTGGGTGGTATATAAACCAACCACAGTGGGGATATGATGGAGATATAATGGAGATATATGGGGGGAATGTAATAACGGAATATTATATATCAACAAGATGCTGTGGGTTTGATGGGGATGGTAATTCTGACTATCATGGGACATATCATGATTGCCATGTCCCATTTTGGGATTAGACCCTGCATTTTTGCACAGCCCTCAACTGGCTGTCATAGCCGCTCGATGGCCTTCGAACCTGAATCCACATGACCATTGGAATTCAGGTTCCAGACGAATTTGGTGCCTTATCCGCGCATCCACTTCATGTTGACCTCCTATGCTCCAGTGATCTCTGCCGAGACTTGGGAAGATGATTTGAAGATTTTGTTTAATCAGACATGGGCAATCGCCTTCAAATAGAACAGCGTTGGAGATTTGCAACTTGTACAAGCCCCAGGAAAAATCTGCATAAGAATACTCTGTCATCTATACAATAGAATCTAATAGACATATCATCTTGAGGATGCAGCCAACACCCCAAACTTTACCCCCCAATGACTGCTGTTTTTTTTAACCCTCAATATTGGGGGTATCACCTTTCGGGGGAAATGATCAAACTGATCAAGGAGAAGGCCTATCATGAGCAGCTCTCTGTGGCAGAGATCACCATGTCTGTCTTCGAGCCAGCTTCCATGATGGTGAAGTGCGATCCGCGTCATGGCAAATACATGGCCTGCTGCATGATGTATCGTGGCCACTTGGTGGACAGATGCAGACAGGTTGGGTAAATCATCCCCAATTTTAGGGTGTTTTAGCATGTTTTTAGCACTACAATGGGGTAACGGGGATTTATTTAGTCATCAAAAAAAGACAGGCAGATTCAAACATAACACATATGACCTTATCAATGATTTAACCATCAAAAATTATTAAAACCGGGTCTTTCATCAACAAACATCGGGATTCAACGATCAAACCTGGGTATATGAGCAAAGATTGGGGTGAAGATAGTGTGCATCTCTGGGTAAAAATCACTGGTGAATGCTTGATTGGTTCACTTTTGGCCATTTTCATTTTGAGATATATTAACCAGCCATAGCCGGGGGATGTATAGTGGGGGAGATCGGATTGAGATGATGGTCACAGTTCCAGCGTCAGACACGGACAATGTGTGCCTGGGAAGTCTTGATCTAGCCCTATGTATGTCAGTTTTTTCAGTTTTGTATGAGCGCTCTTTTTTTATCGCTTGCCTTCACTCGGGGGACAGTGCATGCCAATATTTAAATGAAGAGAATCGATACAGTATCCTATCTCTTTGATGTTACGATTGTCATATTTGAGCCAGCAATCTAAGAGGTTCATGCAACCAGGTATCAAGTGTAGAGGCACCCCATAGGCACCCTGAGGTAAACTAACATAGATATGGAAAGCTCTGGTTTCCCTCGGAAAACAATCTATAAATGATTGATTTTCATGGATTTTCCAGTATCCATGTCATGATATAGGTTGGTTTAAGGGAAAATTTACAGGAACCCCTATATTTGATGGGGAAAAACCAATGGTTTCCTGTAGATTTTCCCTTCAACCAATCCAGTGACTATGTCAATTTAGAGGGTTCCTATGGTTTCCCTTGGACAGTGATCTATAGATGATGCTTTATTCCATATCTGTCACTTTAGAGGGTAAATCCTATGGTAAATCCAAGATCCCTCGTTCATCACTGGTTCATTCCACCAGGCGATGTGGTGCCAAAGGATGTGAATGCGGCAGTGGCCACGATCAAGACCAAGCGCACCATCCAGTTCGTGGATTGGTGCCCCACTGGCTTCAAGTGCGGCATCAACTATGAGCCACCTACTGTGCCGGGGCATTTTTTTTTGTTCTGTTTGTCTTTTTTTTTCCGTTTGGGAAATGTGCAACTTTGGGAAGTTTTCTCGAATCTAGTTGGTGTTTTCACCCGTTTCTTCGCTGCCATCCCATTGGAAGTGGATTTTTCATTGATGGGCGGATGCCAGCAAGCAGGGAATGGTTCGTGCATGGGAAACCGGCTGTAATGGATATTTAAATGGGAAAAATCATCGAACTGCTACTAAATGGGTGATTTTCCAGCTAGCCACGTTTGATTGCCAGAGGGTTATATATATATATATATCCTCCAATATTGTTGTTCTTATTGTGCATTGTTGTTATCACTATATACCCTTTATGTGTCTTACTAAACAAATCTGGCGATCAAAGAATTAAACCATTCTGCATGGGTCAATCATCCCAAAGTTCGGTGTCATTCGTCAATATGCTAGGTAATCCATGCGTAGTGCTACTAAAGTCTCCTGTTTTCTTGCTTCAACCCCCATTGTTGGTTGATTCGAAAGCACTTTTTGGTTGATTATACAGTTATACACTATTTATTCTATTTATTCTTGGTCATAAAACTTCAGATTTTGCTGATATGTTTCCATCCAGTCCAACCACTTGACTTTAAGTTTTGTTCGAATTCCCAAATCGCTCGGTCCCATCGCTCATTTCTCCGGGCCTACATCCTCATTCCGGTTTTTTGTCGGGTTAAAATACCCAATTTGCTGGTGAAATCAACGTGCTTATCGGTAAGCCATTTTAGATCAATAGATCCAGTTTGTTTTTGGTTCAGCCCACATGTGGTGTTGGTTTCATCCTGAGTTTTTCCTGATCAAATCTCATTTTTGGCTGGTGACATTGACCTTTTTTTATTGCTGACATCCTTTCAATCGCAATTGTTGGGGCTTCAACCTGCATTTTCGCAGAGCGAATCCCAGGTCACTCGTGAAATCATCATCAAACCAGCACTTCCCAGGTTCACGCAGATTTTTTCCTACTAAATCCCACATTTTCCTCCTACTGAAATGGATGAATCATGACGTTTTTCCCCATGGAAATCTAGTGACCTCGTGGGAAAATGTCAGCTCCGAGGTGGTTCCGGGAGGCGATCTGGCCAAGGTCATGCGCGCCTGCTGCATGATCTCCAATTCCACGGTAGCTGGTTGCCGATTTCGGGAATTTCCATGGGAAAAAATGGGGACTGAGACTCATCATAGCAATATTATAATGGTTAATCGCAGTAAATAGCAATATTCATCAGAATTTAATGGTATCAGAATTTAATTCATCAGATTTTCAATGGGAAAAAATAGGCGAAAAGCCATAGGATTTACCATGCAACATTTTTTTGGATCCCAAAATGGATCCCAGCACTAGGCTCAAAATCATTGCTACCCACTTGTAGCAGATCTTTGGTTGGACGTCACCCCAATTCCCAACAAGGAATGTGATTTAGCCCGGCAAACATCGGCATTAAATCATCCAAAACGATGACTTAACCAACAAAACTTGAGGATCTTGAGCAGCACAAATCTGGATCAGCGCAATTAAACTTGGGGCAAAGATGTGCTGATCCAGATTTTTCCGGCAAGAATCGAGACATGCCCACGCCTTGTTGGTCACACATGATGTATGTGAAGGAATCTTGGGCCATCTTGGGTGTCTCTCCAAATTTGGGATCCTCCATGGAAGTCTTAATCAACACGCCAGTTATTTGGGGGCTTTTGGGTCCCCACTTTCGACAAACCCCTTGAATAAAGAAAGATACGGTGTTCTTGGCAAAAGAAGATATCCCTTTAACAGGGTTTGGTAAATGTCCAATGGCTTGGGGATGGTTCACATCACTAAAACAACTATCTGTTGGAGATGATATCCCCAAATATTGCAATATGTGGGCGATGTATAAATTAAGACATTTACCAAGCCCTGTTTCATAAACACTTTCCCACAACGAGTGTTCTGATCTTTGTGGTCGATTAGAAATTGGGGGATCCTGAGCTGAATGATGCTCAGGCGATGGCAAACCCGTGGCTTTCCAACGAGGGGATGATTGGAAAAATATGTACCATATATACCATAATTATTTGGGGGGATCAACAGTATGTAAATGAATTTAGATATGTATTTACTGTAATTTTTGTTACAGCCCATTTACATAATAATTTCTATACAATTTATATACCCTCTGGTAAACTAAGATAGCTATTGAAAATGGCCCAGTCGAAATAGTGGATTTACCCATTAATAGCATGGTGATTTTCCATCAGTTTTTTTGTTAACGTTTACCAGAGGGTATCTCCCGATAAATCACCATATTTTCCGTATTTTTCCAATAACTCACCATATTTTCCATAGTTATGTTGTTTACCATAGGGTACCATAACTGCCAGCAAAATCTCGTTCTGTGACAGGGGTGAACCCCGCGTGACCTGAAAAGCCACTGAGGCCATTGCGGAGGTCTTCTCGCGTATTGACCACAAGTTTGACCTCATGCACCTTCCTGAATCAGAGGGATTTTCACGGGAAATCTCATGGGATTTTCATATTTTTCATAGTATATAGGTTTATAATCTGCAAAAATTGCCATATAGAACTAGAAACTATTGCTGTTGTGGGGTTTTTCAAACTGCTGCAAAAACGGTTTCCCTACTATGGCCTACTTCGTAATCCCCAGTAATCCAGGTAGGTTAAAATCTCCCTATACCAATTAACCGGGCTATTTGGAATAGCTCTAATATGGTACTTGGGTGCAGGCCCCACAAATTGTAAATGGGTTAAAAACCACCGGTTACATTAATGGAATATCCCCTATTCTGTATTGGATATATAATTTATATATGTATTATAAAGCACGGATGGATCCCAAGTGGGATACACATCCAGGTAGTGATTTGTGGGCGTCTGAAAATGGGGGATAGCCATAAACTGACCATTTATATAGGACAATGAGGGTAAACCAGAGGACATAGGGGTACGCAATTTTCAGACAAACCCATTTCGGAATGATTTAGTGGTGAAATAATGGGCCGTTGCCGGTGTTAACCATCGAAAATAATGATTCAACGAAGAAATATTGGGGATATGATGGGACTATATAACAGCATTTGTTGGTTAACTATAGCAACACTTTTTTTGGCTGACCATGAGTTATGAAGATATTTAAGCAACTATTGAATATGGCAGACCCAAACTTTTTTACATACTATACCCTCTGGTAAACTAACATAGCTATGGAAAATCACAATTTTTAATGGGTAAATCCACTATAAATTGCCATTTTCAATAGCTATGTTAGTTTACCAGAGGGTAACCAACTTGAGATGATATTTGGGTCTGCTGCCGGGGGATGCCTCAAGTTATTTGGGATCCAGAGAGTCACCTGGATAAGCCGAATACCTTCAGTTGGTTCATGGAGGATGGGGCCCCCAGTCGATTGCGTTCAGTTGGTTTTTTTTTGTGGCTGAATTCTATGGTTGATGGTAGATATCACTATAGTTGATAGGGATTATAATGGTTTATAAACCAACTTATAACTGGGGGGGCCCATCCTGCAAGGTTCATGGGGTTTCAACATGTTTTAGACATCACTTTCTTCGCATGATCCCCACCATTGCAAACATTCGGACATATATTCTGACATTTTCTCTGACAGTCTATCTGACATCTTGTATGGCATTCTTTCTGGCACTTGATCTGGCATTCTATCTGACATTTTATCTGTCATTCTATCTGGCTTTCTATGTGGCATTCTAGTTGTGCTATTCTATCTCACATTTTTATCTGACGTTCCATCTGGCATGTTATATCTGGCATAATTTTCGGGGCAAGCCGTAGTGGCCCTACTTCTCTCAGTTTCGCGAGCCACAGGCTGGCGCATGCGAGAAGGCACCCGCGTGCAAGCGTCAGGAAACATGAGCTTTTTTGAGAGAGACCGTGGCTGACCTTGTACAGTAGGTCAAAAAAATGCAAGGTGAAACCACTCCAATGACATCAATCTCAGGGCATACCACCTGGGAAGAGAATCGTAACACGTGTGAAGGAGCCAACAGTTCAACAACAACCCGGCCCAGGCAGAAGTAGGACATGTTTCCTTCACAAGCCTGCTTGCTGCATGTCACAATGGCAGCAAGCCAAGACGGTAGCAACTGAAAGCCAGTTCAGAGGCAATTACAGGTACTTTTGGATAACACTGGAGCAAACAGAAAAAACAAACCAGAAAACAACAAAAACAAGAAGAAAAAAAACAAACACTATGAAAAACAAATACGAAACCAAGAACTGGAAACTCCTTTCTTCTCCTTTTCTGCTTTCTTCTTCTTGGTGGTGGTTCACCTTAAAGCACCAACTCCTGTCTTCCCCTTTTCTGCTTTCTTCTTCTTGGTGGTGGTTCACCTTAAAGCACCAACTCCTGTCTTCTCCTTTTCTGCATTCTTCTTCTTGGTGGTGGTTCACCTTAAAGCACCAACTCCTGTCTTCTCCTTTTATGCATTCTTCTTCTTGGTGATGGTTCACCTTAAAGCACCAACTCCTGTATTCTCCTTTTCTGCATTCTTCTTCTTGGTGGTGGTTCACCTTAAAGCACCAACTCCTGTCTTCTGCTTTTCTGCATTCTTCTTCTTGGTGGTGGTTCACCTTAAAGCACCAACTCCTGTCTTCTCCTTTTCTGCATTCTTCTTCTTGGTGGTGCTTCACCTTAAAGCACCAACTCCTGTCTTCTCCTTTTCTGCTTTCTTCTTCTTGGTGGTGGTTCACCTTAAACACCAACTCTTTCTTCTCGTTTTCTGCATTTAATTCCTTCGCCTTCCTGTCCTTGCCTTTTCTTCCCAGGCAGCCAGAACCCTTCCTGCCAGAAACTTCTGCATCCTTCTTCTTCTTGGTGGCTTGTGGCTGTAAAATCAGACAAGGGATTCGATGGACAACAGAAAAGACAAAACAGGGAAAGACAGCAGAACAGCTTGAAAAGAACAACAAGAAAGAAAAGACAGAAAAGAAGGAACAGAGAATAGTAAGCATGGAAAGAAAAGCCTTGGTTGGCAAGTAAAGTAAATTTTTTGGATGCCAAAAATTGAAACTGCCAGGCATGAAGCAGAACCTGAAGGTGGCACTGGTGTTGGCCTTTTCGGGCTGCACTTTCGTTTCTGCTGCGGTACCCTGTACTCCAGGGCTGGTGAGGCATTTCCCCGGGGTGGTGATAATGCCTCCCGTTGTCGGGCATCTTCCTGATGGCACCAAAACAGCGCAGAGGAATGGCCAAGGCCAAGGCCAAGGCCAACAATGCAAAGCCTGGTGAGGAAGAGCCTGAAGGTGTTGAAGTTGTGAGGTGCATCAGCGAAGGAGCAAACGGTTGTTGAGATGCCAATGAAATGACATGAAAGAATCGCTGCACAACTGCATGAATGAAGCAATGAAGCAATGAAGCAATGAACCGATGAACCAATGAACCACTGAAGCGGTGAATGAATTCAATGAGCCCATGAAACAATGAAGCAACAAATTAATGAATCAATGGTTCAACGACTGAATGAGCCAGTGAAGCAATGAGTCAGTGAATCAGCGAATCAATGGTTGAACGACCCAGTGAGTCAATGAACCAACGAATTAATGAAGCAGTGAATCACTGAATCAAGGAATCAATGAGTCATTGGATCAAGGATAATGATTCAATGAATCATCAATGATTCAGTGTTTCAATGAATCAGTGCACCAATGAATCAGCGAATCATGGGATCGATGAATCAAGGAATCGATGAAGCAGTAACGAATCAATGACCCAATTGTTCAACGATAATGAATCAGTGAATCAACGAATCAATGGTTCAACGCTTCAGTGAGTCAATGAGTCAATGATTCAATCAGTCAATGAATCAGTGAGTCAACGAATCAATCAGCGAATGAATGAGTGATTTTCGTCCGAATCCGGGAGAAGGAATTTAGAGAAGACCTCATATGATGTACTGCAAGGAAAGCTTCACAATTGTGGGGTGATGCTCAAGTTAGTCATTTCCACACCCCCATTGCAGCCACCACGACTCTTAAGCGTCGCCGTCCCGTGTCGTTTTTGTTTCGTCCGAGGTATTCGTGAGAACATGTCCAAGCTGAAGATCATTTCACGTCAAAAGGCTCAACATGCTGAACTTCTGCAGGTGGGTTTTCCTCGGCAAACGCTGACCTCACAAGCAAGGGTGTTGGGCATCGATTTTTGTGATCGTTTGAATATGGCTTCTCGTTCTACGGCAAATAAGCGTGTTCAGGCTGCTGAGCTTCAAGCACGGAGACTCTGCAAAACCAAAGCGGTGCCTCTTCAGGCCAAGAAAATGTTGTGGCGGACTCGCATTGTCCCCAAGGCAGCATGGGGGTGTTTCTTTCACATGCCAAAGATGACCTCCCTGCAGGCTGCTTATCGCAAGTTCATGTTTGTGCACGCACTGGGCTCACCTGATTTGAGATGTATTTTGGATGGGCACACTTCTGACCTTCATTTCGTGGCTGGCTCTCTAGTTGCAAGCGCTTTGCGCAAAATGGCCATCTCGGGCCGTGTCCGCTGGTATGAGCAGCCAAAATGCGGTACATGGTTGCACACCGTTCAAAGGTGGCTTTCAGAGTTTGGGTGGCAGGTCGCTGGACCTTGGAAATGGTGTCATGCTGCATGTCGGCTCTCTATGGACTGGATGGAACTCCTCGATATGCCCAACCAGGAGCGTTTCAAGTTTTTGCTGGATAAATTTGATCATGGTATTCGTGAAACATGGAGGTTTACGCATTTTTCTGCTTGGCTGAAGAGTAAACGTCGAGATGCGACAGCACTCAGAGGATTTGTTTTTTTACGATGAAGAGCGTTTCAAATTAACGAGACAGATGTTTGAGTCACAAAATGGTCATGGCAAGGCTGTCATGGTAGGTGCTGCTTGCAGCACTGCAATGTATCAAAGCTTGCGGCTTGGTGCAGTGGACAACTTTTGTCCTTGGTGTCAGGAACCTAGTGTCCCAGCCTGGGACCACTTATGCTGGTACTGCGGTGCCTTTGATGAAGTGAGACCTGCAATTCCGCAGGATTTGATGCAGAGACGTTTAGGTTGGCCATCCCTGCAGAGTGGTCACCATTTCAATGCTGAGGTGCTTGCGCACATGTCCAGTGTGCGAAGCAAGGTTTTGGAGAAGATGTGAGTTGTGGCCGTGTGCCACTTGGCGCTGCCATCCCTGAGGTGCAGCGTCAGCAATCAAATTATATATATGTCCGAGGTATTCGAAACGTGCCTTTGTCCATCACTATGTCGGCGAGGGCATGGAAGAGGGTGAGTTCTCCGAAGCTCGTGAGGACTTGGCGGCCCTCGAGCGCCTTGGAGAAGTCTTTAAAAACATTTCGGCTGGACAGCACATGTCTACCATGTAAATATGCATGTATACATACACACACATACATACATATATATATATGCATAAATAGAAATAATATATATGTTTACATATATTTATATGTATATATATATATATGTACACGCATTTTTTTTAACATATATACGCATACAAAGATATATATACATATACACATATACATACATATATTTTCATATATATACATATACATACATATATTTCATATATTTATAAATTTATATATTTTTTGTTATTTATTTATTAATATATTTTTATTTATGTATTTATATATTTATATATTTATATATATATATTTATATGTTTATATACACAGATATATATATATATATATTACATATATATATACATACACACACATATATATATATACATGTATATATACAGATACGTAGAAGCAATTGTACACTCAGATTAAAAACCGTATTTGCAAACATATTCTGTCGTATTTGAACGGTTATTATGTACATACACATGTATATGCACACACACACATATATATATATATTTGATATGTAGATGTATGTGCAAAACGCAAAGCACCACATGTCCGGAGCACTTTTCGAAGAAAAAGTGCACGCCATTGTGGCGCGATGCACATTTGGAAGTCACAAGTGTAAAAGCACCTCAGCTTTGGAGCGCTTTTATAGGAAATGAGATGTTCAAAAAGTGCACGTCGTTGTGGTGCGAAGCACATTTCGAAGTCAAAATGCGCAAAACGCCTCAGTGTCGGAACACTTTTGGCAGTTGAGATGTTCAAAAAGTGCACGCCGTTATGGCGCGAAGAGCGCGTTTGGAGGTGAAAATGCTAAAGACAACGTTGCAACGTTGTTTTGTGTGGCAGGAGCAAGGGATTCTGCACTGAGCAAAACGTGGCAGGCGTGGGACATCATTTGTAGAGGATCTGCAAAGATGCATTTCGCGTGGCAGGTGCGGTACAAGAGGCACATGAGCAAGACATGTTTGGAGGCCCAGGCGCTGATTTCCTGAGAAGGGCTGCATTTTGGAGCATCAGATCTTCTTGTTTGCTAAGATGATTTTGCGTGACAGGTGCAGCGCTTCGTATGGCCTGGCATCACTTTTTCGTGGCAGGCGCAGCACTTTAGAGACATGGACTGAAAAAATCGCAAAGCGTATTGGTACAAGGCCGTCAGCTCTGCACTCAACTTTCCATTTTTGAAGGAAGTCTCACAGAATTGCTTCGTTTTTGATGCTGTCAACACCGCCAACTTGGAAAATTGAGGACGTCTCGCAGAATTGCTGCGTTTTTGATGTTGCCCAGGTCAAGGATTGAAGAAGTCATGCAGTTTTCAAGCTTGCAGATAGATAGATGGATAGACAGCGAGATAGATAGACAGACACATAGATAGACAGATAGAGAGATAAACAGATAGACATGGTAGACAGATAGATAGACAACTACAATTACGACTACACTACACTACGCTGCATTACAACTACAACTACAATTACCACTACACTACAATTACAACTTCCACTTCCACTTCCACTTCAACTACACTACAGCTACAGATACAACTGCAACTACCACTACCACTACACTACAACTACAACTACCACTACCACCACAGCTACAACTACAACTTCAACTACAAACTACAACTACCACCACAACTACAACTACACCTACACTAGAACTACAACTACCACTACACTACACCACAGCTACAATTCCAAGTACAACTAGACTACAGCTACACTACAGCTACAACTACAACCACAACAACTACTACACTACACTACTCTACGCTACAACTACGATTGCAACTGTAACTGCAACTACACCTGCACTGTCAACACTACAACTACAGCTACAGCTAGAGCTACAGCTACCACTACACTACAACTACAACTACCATTACACTACAACTACAACTACAACTACAAACTACACCACACCACACCACACTACATTCAGCAGTTGGGGATGATGTGGCCATGGCAACAACTCCAAAAACACAACTCCAACCACCTTTCGGTCCATGAGTGGATTCGCTCTGCCATCCATGCATCACAGCAACTCACCTCTCCTATAGTTTTCTATCTTTGAAACTTTAGCCGCCGCCTTGTGCAGTACTATTGTTAATGTATTTGTAAACGCGTATGACTGAAACATGCAACTGTACATGTATATGAATGTAAATGCATGTGCACGTATGCGTGTACGTGAAGACGTATATGTAAGGGTAAATTAAATCAAATTTACATGCACATGTAGATGTAAATGCGGATGCATATACAGGTGTAAACTTGTAGATTCCAGTTGTACATGTACACAGATATTTTTCCGCATGCGAACGAAATCTGCATAGGTATACAAAGTTTCGGAGATATGTTTTTGTGTTTTGGCAACTAAAAAATGCAAATTTAATTGTGACTTGCTATCCACTTCACTGCAACATTACACTGCATCAATTTTCGTTGGTTGATGCTCCCAAAATGTTTTTCAAGTGTTTTGTGTATTCCATATTAAAACCCGTTTTGGTTGATATTTTGATTGTCACTGGTAACATGTTCATTCACAATGGCACGAAAATTCTATGCCCCTTGATTGAGGAAAGATTACGAAGAGGTCGGCATCGAAACCGCTGAAGGCTTGGTGTTTTTCGCACTGTTCGATGGTTTTCAATGCCAACATTGTTTGTTTCAAGTGGTTCATTGCAAACCATGTTTTTGTTTCAAATTCCAAGAAAAAACAACTCATTTTTTTCACGGTTTTCAGGTGTTTTTTGTTTCATATGTTTTTTGTTCTGAAAGTGGTTCATTTTTATAATTGGTAGTCCCGTTCAATACTAAGTACACTCCATGATTGGGTCCTCAACATGAAAACATACAAATTAAACCACTGGTTTCTGGGGTATTTGATGTTAGAGGAAGGGGATTGCTTTTTCGGTTGTGTCCTTGCACTTGATGATTGAAAACGCAAATTAAACGCATTTTGTGCGAGGCGAAGGCGAAGAAGAAGGCTATGGCGACGAGTTCTAAACCACAGGTGAAATCCACTTGTGATATATTCAGGAACATGAGCGTGCGCGCCACGCGCTCATGCAGCTGAGTTGTGTGCATGGAAAAAATGGGCCGTCTCGGATTGACATGGAATTTGGATGTAACGAATCAAACCACGTGATGAAGAAATCATGTGGATTTGAGTACCATGAAATCACAAACTTTATTTTGTTGATGGTTGAAATGATTTTTCGGATTGTTACCATTTTTTTTGGGTTTAAATCTTCGTTGATCCCAATTTTTTGTTGCCAAGTCGACCACTTCTTGGCTAAAAATCAATTTGGGTTGGTCAAACCCCTATTTTTACCAGGTTAAAATGCCAAAATCATCCAAAATCATGGTTGGATCTCAAACTTTACCAAGTAGAATTCCCCAAGTCATGCTAAATCCCCTCCATGTCTTCTGGGTGTTTAAATGCCAAAATCATGTTTTGTTGTTCAACTTTTTACTGGATTCGACCACCCCAAAAGCATAGTGGATCCCGATTTTGATTCGTTTTAACTTTCCATTTTGCTCCATCCAGGTTAAAAACTGCAAACACTACTGTAAAATGCAAATGTTCGATTTGCAGATGGATTTCTCTGAAAACCCTTTGGGTCCCCATCCTGTGGTTCAAAACCAGTCTTCCCCATGAAGGGCCATAGAAAATAGGGTACCCCGTAGTTTGATTTTTTGATCTTAATTTTCCATAAGTAAAACTGGTTAAATCGCCATTTTTTGATCTAAAAACATAAGTCATTGTGAATCCAGCCCTTATGGTTGGTTTAATCTCAATCTCCATTTCACGGTAAAAAATGAGATACACTCATCGTTTTGGGGTAGAGAACTGAGAACGAAAGAGCACACTGATTTGATATAAACCGTTGTATAATAACTTTAAATATACATGTACATTATATATATATATATGTCAAAGTTGTGTCACACCAATTTCGATTAAACAATTGTATATTAATCATCATTACGGCAAGATTGTAGTATTTCGGCATTGGTTTAATCATGAAACATATTGGGATAATCAATGGGATAAATAGTGGTTCAATGGGGTTTCAATCGAAATATAGTATAATTATAGAAACATAGTTGGGAAATATAATATGTTGGCAATTGGGAAATGTAATCTTTGGGTAATTGGGGAATATGGAAATATGGAGAAATTACAATAATCCAATAACAATTAATTGGGAATCATATTCACTGTAATATTATATCAATTTAATCAGTGGATGGTTTAATCATAGTACTTTTTTCAATTAAACCAATTATTGTAGTACTGTATTATCAATATCCCGATTATTCTTTTTATCAATAATTTGTAATTTCCACTAGTATAGAATAAATAGTTGACAATAGTGGTTGATTCTATAATTTTCCAAGCCCATTCATTTAGTAAATTAACATGTTAATTGAATGAGAGTTAATTAGCCACTGTTAACCATTATGAACCATTATTAACCACTAGTAATTTACCAAGCGCATTAATTTCATAAACGCTTTCCCACAATCATAGATTATTCATTATTAACAATGATTAACCATGATTAAGCATTGTTATACCTAATAACCACTATTATTGTTATAGCTACCATTGTGATAATGATGATGGTTGAATTTCTCCCAAGTCGTCCCTCCATTCCACTGGCCGAGGCCCGAAGCCGAAGCAAAGCGCGAAGCGCCGGCCGTGGCGCCGGTCGCGCTGGCAGCGCCGGTGGCAGCGCCGGTGTCGGCGTCGGTTTCGGTGGTACAGGAGTGGTGACGATCTGGGCTGATTCTGGGTGTGTTCTCCAGGTACTGTATTATATATTGTATCCACATATATATATATATACATAATATATATATATATAATATACATATATATATATATACATCTATTTATATACACATGATCATGATATGTGTATATAAATCTGGTACATACATGTACATGAATGTGTTCGCCCTAGGGGCTGTCTCCAAAATGGATCCCAAAATGGATCCCGACAGAGCCGCATGGATTCGAAGCTTCTGGTGATAGCCATGGGAAATGCTTTGTTTATGATGGATATGATGCTATAACAACCAACAAAAATAGGGAGTTTTACCAGCAATTTTGTGGGATATAATAGGATAATATGATATAATATGGATAATAGGATTTCAATGGCAGATCTCCAGGATCCAATACATGGAGGTACGTTAGTACCATATGTTTGGCCATATTTTCTGGTGATATTCACTAAAAAATAGGCCTGAACAATAGGCCTTATATATGGTAGGTACCTCCATTTTAGGATCCTGAAGATCTCCCATTGATGATTTATTCATTTTAAATGGTGGTTTTCCATAGCTAAGTGAAATTCCCCAGGGCATTTCAGTTCAAGTTCACCAAGCCACTTGGAATGCCATTCTTCTATCATGTCATGATGGAAATCCCGATAGGTCAGCGGAGACCGCCCTATTCACCCTCCAAGACAGCAACTTAGAAGTGTGGCTGGAACATTGGAATTTTGTGGGGTTACTAACCTACCAAAATGGTTGTTTTATGGGATTTAATGGCTGGTTGGTGGTTTGGAACTGGATTATGACTTTCCATTCAGTAATGTCATCATCCCAACGGACGAACTCACTCCATCCATGATTTTTCGGGGTGTTGAAAAACCACCAACCAAATATTAACCACCATTATATAACTACCATTAACCACCATTAACCAAGCATTAACCACCATTAATCAACCATTAACCAACCTTGCAGAAGTGTGGTCGATGCGTTCATGGCACGGCCCAACTGACTCAATTCCAGGCTCCAGAGAATTCCACTGAAGATGTGAGGCGTGGCGGGGTTGGTGGTGTGCTAGCGATGCTGTGCCAAGGTGGACGTCAACCACAATACTGCACGATACCCTCTGGTAATTTAACATAGCAATGGAAAATCACCATTTTTAATGGGAAAACTCACGAACTAAATGACCATTTTCAATAGCTATGTTAAATTACCAGAGGGTAGTCTTTAATGGTCTCGATCCTGCCAACCCTGTCACCAACATCAGGATGTCTGGACAAGAAATGCAAGAAATGCAAGAAATGCAAGAAATGCAAGAAATGCAGGTTCCAGAGCCCGCACCCGCAGCGTGGCCGCTCACACGACACTCCGTCGTGTGCCAGGCGTCTTCAGTGCAGTTGAACGTGATTTTACCCAAGACAACTGGTCAATATGCAGAGGGACAGGCAGTCAATTCAGTTTCTTTTTCATTGATGCTGGACATGGCAATGATGCTTTGGAATCGGATGGAGACAGATGAGCGAGAGTACACCAGTCGGTGGCTGCTTTTGCTAACCTTTTTGGAAGAGGTGGCTGACGCCAAGAGATACCACCCATGCCCCTTTTTGTGCCGCTGTTTTTTGCAGGTGCTTCCCTGTTGAGCATCATGCGTTTTTGCTGCGGTGGATATGTGTGGATGTTTTTGTGGCCCACCCCACAATCTACTTCCGCTTGCGATCCGCGCGATGATCCTCCAAGTAGTTTGGCTCCATCCCTAGCTGGAATGATGATCAAATTTGTCGTGGCTTCTGGGATGGGATGTGAAACGAAAGTCTCCTCAGACCATTTTTTGTGGCGAATGGGACATCAACTCCCGTAGGCACAGGGTGGATACAGTATGGGTATAAATCAACGTTGCATACGCCAGAATTGCATTGTCAAGACTGAAAAGAACCAAAACTGTGCGCAGTGCATAGGCTGGACCTTAATTTTTGCCCCATAGGCATACAGGCATGGTTTCAAAACCTATGTTTTCGTGTTTTTTTGAGGGGGAACATCCATTTACCAGCTGGTTTGATGTCCAGCAGGGCTCCAGACCCATAGCTTTCACAGACTCGAAGATGACGACCCCTTCAATGAAGAAAACAAACGATTATGACGTGACCTCCCTGCAATCAGCTTGCATAGTATAGATGGAAGATGATGGATGTGTATCCCACATAGAAACTGGTTTATAACAATATATATATATACACATACAAACGTATTTATAGAACTGGGGAGCAGGGATTCACCTCCAGGACCACAATAATTGCGGTTTTTAGCGGTCCCATTTGAGGAGTCCAGTTGAGCAGTGGCTGCTAAAGCCTGGTTGGTTGATGATTATGATAGGGGATTATATATAGTGAATATGAATGGGATATTAATGTAACTGATGAATGGGGTATTGGCCATGAACATATGGGGATATTAGTGAAACTTTGATTATATTAATTTAAATATGAGATTTAAACCATGAGATTTCAAAATTCAAAATTCAAAATAATGGTTGTTAAAAACCAGGGTTTATATTACTCCTTGGATATTAACCATGAAAATATGAGGATATTAGTGAATATTAATGTAACTATATATGACTGATAAATGATGGTTGATTGATGGTTATAATAGGGGATTATACTACCCAATATATTGGGGATTCCAATAATCCAAGAGCGGGGAATCCCGTTTTTAACCAACCAATATTTCATAGAATGAAAGAAGGATTTTGAACACTGCTCAGTTGTTGTATGAAATCTCCTACTGTGGATGGTTGCGACATCCCAGTTGATAGGTGCCTGAAAATCCCTTTACTCTCTGGTAAACTAACATAGCCATCGAACATCACCATTATTAATGGGTAAATCAACTATTTCTATGGCCATATTTTCAATAGCTACGTTAAATTATCAGAGGGCTTTCACCAGCCTTTTGGTGTTGCAGGATTTCGCACCCACCCACCCCAATTTGCAGATCCCATGGAAAACTCCAGCAAATCCTTCTAAATCCCATGAAATTACCATAGAATCATCGTAAAATCACCATACAATCCCATAAAATCACCATTAAATCCACTAAAACCACCATTAAGTCCCGTAAAACAACCATTTAATTTTCCCTTTCGTTTCATTCAAAATTTGCCGGTGAACCATCCATTTTGGGTCGGTCGACTGCCTTCATCTGCGGCCAGGGTGGAG